TTTGCACATTTCTATTCTTCAGACTCATCCCAGACTTACTTTTGACCAACTTGGAGAATACTGAGGTTTTTTCTATTCTATTGTATTACTGTTCTAGTTTTACTTTTGACTTGAAAGTTTTAGGGTTGAGGGTAATTTAAACTCAATTACAACGGTTCCTTGGTTGCAAAACAGTTATTCACATGCATGTCCTTTATGGCCTCCCAGCTCTCTGCCCTAAGTGTCAAACAGTGACTCACAGGAATCTTTTGCTGATGTTTTTAACAAGATGAAGACATTTGTTCACAACATTTTACTTACAAAACTTCTTGGTGTTATTATATTAAGAAACCTCATCTTTAAGAGGGTGCAATTATTGTTTGTTGTATAGAAAACATATTAATGTCTGGAGTCTTAATTCAAAGGACAAGGTTAACTTTCAGAGGCAAATACACCAGTCCTCATGACATGACATTTGATCAGTTTCAAATTAAGTGAACCGACAGAAGTTAAAGTTGTGAAAATACTCCCATACATGTCACTCATCTGTAAATAAGTACATATTGCAATCATGTTCAATATGCAATGCTGCAAATTCACCAAATATCACTTTATCTACATGTCCTGCCTTAAATGTTTATACCCTTGCACTATATATATAGAGATATTGAAGCATTTACAGCTTGCTAAGAAACATAGCAGCTACTTATTTTGTAAATGTTGTGTCCTCCCGTTGTGCTCCTACTACTATCCTGTATGTGTGCTGCAACATTGAAATTTCCCCACTGTGGAACTAATAAAGAATCCCTTATCTTATCACATATTTTCTTTTCTTGAATCTCTTTACTTTGAGATTGTTTTAACTCTGTATTAGCAAAAGCACTCAAGAAACTACTTCAATGTAACTTAAACATTCCATACACTGTGTAACCTTGTTCTTTTCACAAAATGTTGAAGTACTAACTTTGCTTCAATGGCAGGCCCTTTGCCAACCGTTTTTATGTTGCAGGTGTCCAAAACTGCCGCAGTTCTACACACATTAATTGAAAGTTTTACTGTCACTCCGGCGTCTATCTTGTAATTGCTTATCTCAGAACAAAAGAGATTTTGTCCTGATCTTGCCCGACAAGGACCCACCATCTAGTAACATCCATACAGTGAGTTTGCCCTTTTATATGGTATTTTTATCTCCTGCACTGGGGCTCAAGTATTAATACAATATATCCCACTTGGGAATTGTGGCCTGAAGTAATCAATAGTGAGTTTACTATGACCTGATATGGAGGGCAGCAGCGGACACACATCAGGCCTGTCCTACCCCAGTCCGTCCAGGAAAGTACCTCAACACAAGAGGCACACTATCATGACCGATACTAGAGGTTACAAAAACACAGACCGGAAAAAAAGGATTTGGTTGCAAAGCATAACTATTTGCTGCCTACACCTGAATTTCTCTTACAAGGATTATTAAAGTATATATCTATCATCAATCTATCTAGTAATGCTTTGAAAACAGAACAACAACAAAAATCCACCCAGTGAAGTACAATGCCATTTATCGGGTGGAATTAATATCTTACTTGATTATGGCATTTCTTCATTTATTTAGCAATTGTATAATTCTCACAGAGGCACAAAGAGGACAAAAGCCTTGTATACTTTACCGACTCAGCAGCACCTTATAATAAATGTTCTTTTGTGTGGGTCATAACAAATTCTCTATTCTCTATTCGTGCTCCTAATTTTTCAAAAGAGGCATTTACAATACAGTACATTAATGTATATGGAAAAAATGCACACCTAGATAGAACAGCGGCACAGAAATCTTCCTTCTATAGTGGAATAGAAGAACAAAAGATCGTAAACTGATAAAATATGATTGCCGCTGATAATGCAATACATCCTTTACCACTCTAAACTTTTCCGCAGCTTTCTCATCTCAAGCCAACACTTTCCAAGCTCACCCAATTACACAGCGAGGGGTGGGGCATTATGGAAAAAAAAAAAAATTAATGCAAGCCGGAGACGCAGACAGAGTCAATTGAGCTTTTAATAGAGCCTCTCCTTTTTTCCCTGTATGGATAAATAATACAGCAGTCAGCAAATCTGGGATGTAACGGATGATATTGACCTTTTAGGCGTGAGGGAGTAACAGAAGCAAAAGGAGAGAGACAGTTGCAATGCAGAGGAATGCACAATGTCAATTGCATCCCACACAAAGCATCTTAATCAGAGTGCGACAAAGGGGTAATCAATCACAATGATGACTATGTAGGGTTTAGAGCCAGGGAAAGGCCTTGACCCCAGCTACACTGCGGATACAAGCTGTCCGGAGCAGGCCTGGCCCTCTGAGACACTCCCCTATATCCACTGTACTCTCCCCATTGTCATTACTGTCTCTACTGCATCGACTCCATATATTTCTGCCTGTTTCCTGCCATCTGTCTTCTTCTGTCACCCCCTCATTCCCGCTCGATCCAACTGGGGAGGGTTTTATTGGCACGATAAGTTGACTTTAACTGTCTTTCGTCTTGCTGGAACATTTGTCATCCTCTTTGTTAATTTGCCCAAACTGACTTAAGCTGTGGGATCCAGGAGGAATTGTGCAGTTGATAAAGAGACTGAGAGAATAACGTTCAGCAGCATCAATATTAAAGTTTGGGACATGTATTTGTAATGTCCTTGCTCTTCTTGGAGGGATGTCAGTCTGTAGAAAAGGGAAAGGAGGAGACAGAAGTGACCACAGCCTTTCAGTGAACTTCAAAAGTCTCTCGCAGTGGACATTTGTGAGAACAGTGTCACCATGTGGTAAGAGGCTGCAATGACAATCAGGCGAACTCGAGGTTCCTTTACAGCAGTGTTTTTCAACCAGTGTGTTCTTTAGTGTGCCCTTAGAAATAATCCAATACCAACTAATTGGTCGAAATAATGTGAAAATAAAATAAAGTGAGAAGATTAGAAATACCTTTTTCACTTTCTATTTAAATACACATTGATGAGAATTGATATAAGATAAGATCAACTTCATTGTTCTCACAATGGATAAATGTATATGTCACATTTGGCATAGATAATCACTCAGATTGTGCAAAAAGACATGAAGAGTGCAAACATGTTAAAGGTTAAAATATAGTTTGTGCAAGATATATAAAGTGCTTTTCAGTCCTAGTGCAGGTCATTAGTGACTTAAAGTGTACAGTCGAAAAGGGCGATATCTACAGTCACTATGGGTAAGCCGAGGGAGGTCCTACAGACTGAAGTCTCCACAAAGAAGTGAATCTGGAGATGAGGAGCGTCTTGTCAATCACCGCCACGCAAGTGAGGCAAAGCGGAAGCATTTTATTTTAGAAAAACTTTAATCTACAGTAGTACAGTCTATGAGACAGAGCAACACCCGCGGCTCCCAAGACGTCATTGACGATTCTTAACTCATATACAACTCTTGTTAACATTGGATGGTGAAATCTGGTGAATTTGTAGCAGACAACGCTTACTACTACTAGACTCCTTTTTTCTGAAAACGTTTTACTTAAACCAGTGTATAATTGTGGTCCACTCTTCTAGGTGTAAAACATGGCTGAGAAGGTATAAATGCAATGGTTGAAATGCCACAAATAAATATTATCTGTCAATTCAACAAAAAGACATACTTCACTCATGCAAAGTTGTACTTAATACTTTTTAATAGAAAATAGATTTGTATACAACTATCGATACTTTTACTACCTTTGCCACCTAAGGAGGTTTGTTTTTTTTCCCTTCTCTTGTTAATTTTGCAGTGATTTTATTGTGAAAGTCCACAGCGGAAGTGCTTCGTGATGGGCACACTCCAGGGGAAGGGGGTCTTCTTGTCAGAAAAAAAACATCGCAAAAACAGCTTAACATTTAACTGTTAAACTGAGACGAGGAACGCGTTTCATGTTTATTTCGTTTGGAGTTGTTTACAGGTCCGACCCAACACGTGTGAGGACTTTTCAAAGCTGGAAGAAGTTTTTTGTTGTGAAAAGTTGTGAAAAGTTGTGAAAGTCCGATCTGCAAACGGAGAGGCCAGCTGAGAGTGGGGTGAGGAGGCTGGCTTTGGCTCTGGCACAGTCTGGGAGTACTGCCCTGCTGCTAACAGCTAACTAGCACAAACTCACTTCTTTCTCACGGAGTAGTGCAAAGGTGAGCAGAAAGTCACTCTTCCAAACTTCGACAGGAGTTCTCACATGATCATTACTGTGCTGTCACAAAAGGAGCGGATCGGGAATATTGAGGTGGAAACAGACAAGAACAGAGTGAAGCCATTTGCAGCCCACCGTTTAAGTACATATACAGTTTGTTTTGTCTGATTATTATATCACTAAACCCTTTTTATATTTGAATTTTGCTTTTCAAAAGGAAACTTATCGTTATTATAGTCATAGTCACTAAGGTAAAGTGGTTGTTCTTCTGGAAACATGTTTGTAAAGGGTGATCTGTAGCCTGTAACAGTCCAATATGGCCTCAACATGTGTCCTCAGCTCAGTGTGTCTCAAAGGTGTTATACATCTACATATTGTTCTTCCATAGGTGTCAGTGATGTTTAGCTCTTGTGTATTTGTGCATTTCTCCACAGACTGGTGTTCTGCAGAGACTCCTTCATCTGCAGCTGCTGACTCTGCACCATTTGTTGATCTGATTTTTTAGATAGTCATAAAACTCAAGGAGCATTTCAAATTTTAATGTCAGCCTTGCTCACACATTTTTTAGATGTACTGGGTGCCTCAGGCGCTCAGCCTGCTCTCAAACACTGATTATTTCTGCATTATTCCATGCAGAAACTGCTCAATCTAATTTTAGCAAGCTGCCTGGACTGTAATTAGTTAGCTAGCTCATGCTAGTAAGAACTAGAGCCTTATAAATACATCATATACATTTATAAAGTTAGGGTAAAAGTTTGGTGGTGCATGACTGTGTAGGATCAGCTGTAGAGGTGATGAGGCAAGCCTCCCGGAGCCCTGTGTGGCTGAACCGGCCGTGGCCCAACATGATGTGATGAGATGGGGTGCAGGAACAGTAAGGTCCTCCCTGAGCCTCCAGGGGATGTGCAGTTGGACCTGGTCAAAAAGGTCAGTTTATCAATCATCAATGATTCTTTATCACATTGTCTTTTAAACAGAAAAATAGACAAAAGTTATTGGTGTCCAGACTTGGCTTACATTTGCTTTTTGTTTTTTAGGTTGATACTATACAACCCCCGCAGACCGATATCTATCAGCACTTTATACGAGGAGATGAGAAGGCTGCAGGAGCCGGTGGTGGGGACAAGATAGGTGGTGCTTCGCCTCTCCTGGCCCTAGCTGTTGGTCCTACAGCCTTAGTTCAGGCTCCTAAAGAAGCCAATGAACAGTCAGATCCTCAGCGCAAGAAGGTCGCTAGGTATCGAGCCAAGTTTGACCCGCGGGTCACTGCCAAGTATGATATTAAGGCTTTGATAGGTCGAGGTAGTTTTAGCCGTGTTGTACGGGTAGAACATAAAAGTACACGGCAGCCTTATGCCATAAAGATTATAGAGACCAGATATCGTGAGGGAAGGGAGGTCTGTGAGTCAGAGTTGTGTGTCCTGCGGAGGGTTCGTCACACTAACATTATCCAGCTCATGGAGGTGTTTGAGACTGCAGAGCGTGTGTACATGGTGATGGAACTTGCCACAGGAGGAGAGCTATTTGACAGAATCATTGCCAGAGGATCATTCACTGAACGGGACGCCACGCGGGTCCTGCAGATGGTCTTGGACGGGGTGAAATATCTGCATACTTTGGGAATAACTCACAGAGACCTGAAACCAGAGAACCTCCTGTACTATCACCCAGGGGCCGACTCCAAAATAATCATCACTGACTTTGGTTTGGCCAATAGCCGAAAAAAGGGGGATGAGTGTTTGATGAAGACAACATGTGGGACACCAGAATACATCGCCCCTGAGATCCTAGTTAGAAAGCCTTACACCAACGCTGTGGACATGTGGGCACTGGGGGTCATATCTTACATCCTGCTGAGCGGAACGATGCCCTTTGAGGATGACAATCGCATGAGGCTCTACCGACAGATCCTCAAAGGGAAATACAGCTTTACAGGAGAGGTAAGAGTGCTTCTACTGGTGGACAGAATTGTGACACTTGCAATTAACATACTTATCATTTGGGAACATAGAAAACGGTCCAAATATGTAAAAATACTGATTACCATTCCCCATTCTGGCACATACGACATATAGAAAGAAAGACGCTCTGCATTTTAAGAGTCCCTTTCTGAGTGCACTCTCTTTGCCGGCAGAAATAACCCATATTTGGAATGCATTCCTTACACTGCATGAGGCTTTGTCAACACATTTTCCCACAAGTTCAGATTTTCTTGTGCGCTCACATGTTTATCAAGGCCCACTTTCTCCCCGGCGTCCTGCTCACAAACATCACATCTATTTCTGTCCTCACCTCCCTCTTTCTACCTGTGTGCTTTAAACTCTCCAGTCAATGTGCCTTGTCTCCCAAGTGTTTGTGTATGTAGTCATTTATGCTCTGTGTGTATCGGTGTATCCAGTCGGAGGAATGCTGAGTAGTCGGGTCCTTTGTTTCGTGGCGTAGGATCTTTATGCTGCCATTGAGCTTTTCAAAGGAGCCCTCGCCTGATTTTCCCTCAGAGCTGAGTGAATGAGTGTAGATGGAGTGCGAATGCTCTATGTACCTTTGCATATGCCTGTAAGATAGAGGCGTTACGGTAACGTTTGTTTGTCTCACGTTCTTGCTTGTTTTTGTCTATATACTTCAATCATGTCACAGCGAAACACTTGATCTTTGATCTAACTTTGTAAGCTAAAGTTGGGTTTTCAAACTATTTGTTTAGATTTACTACTTTTACTTCAGATATATGCAATGACTAAGAATTTGCTTACGGCCCCAAAAGTTGTCTCATAGAAATAGAAAATACACATAAAAATATAAGAGGAGAGCTGCCGTTTCAAAGAGCCTATGATGTGCCAAAGGTTATTTGGTGAATGACCTACGTATCGTCATGCTAATGGATTCTCCAGATACAAGGCCCTATTGTTTGTGACCTCTTTGTACGAGGGCCACCAGTGGAAGTGAAGGCGCTTTCTTTTACGGTGTCATTGAACGCAGAGCAAGGACATGTTCATCTGGTGCAGAGGGGTCAGAGTGACAGGGCAAAGCTCTGGTCTCATGTCAGGGAAAAAGGACAATCACAATATTGTTTTTTTTTCTCAAATTACGCTGTCGTCACCTCAAAATATGTTTTTTGCTAAACGGTAGCATACACTTAGTTGAGCAGATCATGTAATATACCTCTTTAAGACAATGGCCTATGTCAAGACTGAGTGTAATTTCAAATGTTTTTTTTGCGTTTCTTGAAAAACTTGAAAAAATAGTTGGTGATTCTGAAGAAGTTGTTGTTACAGTATATTTTAACTGTATAAGACATGTCACATTCAAATTCATTGTAAATCAAGAAAAACATGGTCTAATCTTATATTATATAGCAAAATTCTACATCTAAAAATTTAAATATGGTTGATGAGGCGAATGTTGAGTGCACTACCCTCAAGGACAACTTTATAAATAAAAACTGATAAATAAAGCTCCTGTCTCCTCCCGGCCCTAACTTGTGTCTGGGGCCAATAGTTAAGCAATACGTGCTGCAGAGCTTGGTCTACACTGGTATTTACCTGATGTGTAAAGGGGCTGTGTTATTGTCCATTGGGAGACTAAAAATACAGCTGTTTGCTAAGCTGGGTATCGAGCAGAAGACTGAGCAATAAAGAGGCATGCAGTGCTGATATTCCCATTTCCTGTCCAAGCAGGGGGTCAGTGAGTTAATACTGAGTGTTGTAGTTTGCCTGATGAGAGACAAGGCTCCCATTTAGATCGTTTACTAGATCCGTTATGTGCAAAAGAGGCAGTGATCCAGCCTAGGATATAAATGCAATATTTTACAATAAGTATAAAGCTATTTATGTAATACACTTGAGATTTAAAAGCTGGACTAAACACCCAAGATGTGAAACCTGAAACTGTAGTTTTTGCAATGCTCAGTTGGGGGATCTCACTTTGTCTTCTTTTGTCCTCAAAGAGTCATTTCAATTCAATCCAATGTATTCTTGTATCGCCCTAAATCACAACAATAGAGGACACAACCGTTGAATTCTCCAACACAGATCAGAGAATCAAACTGTTCAAACACAAGAAATAAAACAGAAAACACATTGTCTGCACTTTAGGATGACAAGAGGATCACAAATTCCCTATGCAATATTTACATTGGGAGATTGTCACCAACAAGGTTTGCCAATTAAAACAAATGATCACTTCGAATGTGGAAAAAAAAAAAAGAATCGCAGGACTTTCAGCTACCCATTACAATCGATCTCTACCTTGTTGGTACTACCCCTTGTTGATTATTGTTCTCTTGTGTACTCAAGTATTTACATATTTATAATAACTAATATTCAGCATTGTATAAATATATTATATAATACAATCTCAAAATTCACTGAATTTAGCTAATTTAGCAAAATGTTTAGGATTATTCATTCAGGATTAATGAATAATCCTCAATTATTTCTCAACAGTGATATATTAACCATGTGTGGAAAGTTACAGTTGAAATGTTGTAATCATCTACAACCCCTTCAGTTTTATGATTTCTATATTATGTGTGTATGTCTTAGAAACCTTGTTTCTTTTGCTCTGATTTAAATTAAGTTTGGCACACAGCCGTATTTGTATAGAATGTTCACATATATTGTTCAAACTGAACATGTAGAACTCTTCCAAAAGTGACAATACATATGTATTTTATAAAGTGTGTTTTTTGTCCTCAGCCCTGGCCCAGTGTATCAAACCTGGCCAAAGACTTTGTGGAGCGGATCCTGACTGTGGACCCAGCCCAGCGCCTCACCGCGGGGCAGGCCCTTAAGCACCCCTGGGTGGTGAGCATGGCTGCCTCCTCCTCCATGAAGAACCTGCAACGCTGTATCTCCCAGAATCTGCTGAAGCGCGCCTCGTCCCGCTGCCACAGCACCAAGTCCTCGAACTCCATCCGCTCCAGCCGCTCCACCAAGTCTAACAAGGCCCGGCGCATGAGGGAGAAGGAGCTCCGCGAACTCAACCGCCGCTATCAGCAGCAGTACAATGGATAGGACTGAACAGTACATGTGACCACTCAAGCAACTATGTACAACAAACTGTGACTTAAGGGTAGCATTGTCATCTCATTCTCTGGTCCAAACCTCTCTAAAGGGATGGGACATGTCATTTCATTTATGTTTGTACATATTTATTTATTTTTGTTGAGTTATGGTTTATCTTTATTGAAATGGTCACTGGATAATGACCGTCACAAGGATCTGTTGAACAGAGCTCTGGTTAGTGGTGTTTCTGCAGTTAAGGGAAATAAGCCCCTTTTCCTATACCATTCCTTTGTAAAGACCTGTGAATTGTTTTATATCTTTTTTTATTTTAATTTTATAATCAGAGCCACAAGAAAAGTTAAATTGATACTAATCAAATGATTTTGAAGCTGCACATTTCCTTTAGTATTTTTGTCTGTGCACCAAGGACCACATTTTGTTATGATACATTGGAGATTATTTTAGTAATGTGGTACTTCACATTGTTGATTTTTCTTTTTTTATGATTGTGGTGCAGATAACACCGGAGGCAAAAACGCCTTCTCCAAAAACAAGTATTAACCAATTATTAATCATTATTTTGAACTGCCAATATGAACCAAAGAAATCCTTCAACTGTAAAAGTAGCTGATTTAATGTTAATTAAAACAGCTAATTCATTATTGATCTATTAACTTTGAGTGGTAAGATTTTCTTGCTAGTTGCAAAAAGAGAAAGCATGTTCACAAGAACTATTGCCTGGACAAGCATCCCATGGACAATGGCCGGTTTGTCTGGTCAACCCTTAACAGGAATACTACGTTCTAATAATGCATGATTATGTATTCAATCAACATTATTGCATTGCTTTGTCCTATCTACTGTAGATCTAGGGCTGAACCACATGACTGAAAGAAAACTTATACTGATATTTTCATCTGAGAAAGCACTTCCTTATATTTAAAGTACTGATACCGTTGGTGTATTTTTTCTTTGTTATTCTTTGTATGTTCTTTTGTATGACCACCTTTATTCCAGTTTTCTTTCTAAGACTATGTGTTATTGGAACCAATTGAGCCATGTCAGAGGACCTCTCAACACATGTACACTTGTATCAGGAAAATGTAAAGTGCTTCTAGGTGGATCATGTCTTTCCCTTGAATGGCATTTCCCAAAATAATACTAATATTTCCAATGTAATCCTTGGATCATTTCAAAATTAATTCCATGTACTTAAAGTATGACAAAGACAATGAAATATTAATGTATTCTTACTTCTTACATTAAACAACCCCCCCTCCCCCAAACGCAAAAAGCCAACTTTGGAGCACAGTTTTATGTTGGTATATGTTAACACATTATCATGTTTTATTTTTTATGTGAATGAAGACATTTGAAATGAAGTAGCAAACTCTCGACTGAAACGTTGGTGGTGTACCCCCTTCTTTTGTGTGTGTGTGTGTGTATATATATAATATATAATCTCTGATTTTAACTTCATCAGCGCAAAATTAGTTGGGTCTAAGGTCAGATGTAAATACATATGTAATAAACAATACATAACATAAGAAATACGTGACTTGAAGACAACACAATTTAGGGGTTTATTGAGAACAATTAGAGCAGTGAGTTTGACATCTCACCAATATCAAGATCATATAAATATTATCACATTTTCTGAAGACATGTTTTAGTTGTTGCGCGTTGCTTTTGGCGTCATCTAGCGGCAGGGAAACGACATACGGTTGCCAGGTTTTGATACAGATAGGGTTTGGACAGAGGTTATATATGAGAATATATCTGCAAATAGATTATTTCAGCAATTCGTTATTATTTCATAATAATTATGTCTATTTGCAGTAACAGCTCAGTATAATACCATGGCCCTAAAAAGAAGATTAAGAAATGCGTTAAGGGGGATATTTGTATGATCTGGCAGCCCCTGGTTAGCAGACGTCAGTGGTCTGCGCTCTGCAGCTAACCTGTGCTAGCTTTTGTTTTTCTGCTCAAAGTGTTCACTCACCTGGCACAGCTGATCACAAACTGGGTACTGCATGTCACTACAACGCACGTATTTCTAGAGACAGCCTGTTTTTCCCCAGTAAGTGTTTTTCTTTTACCATATATATTGTTATAATTATTATTATTTAGCAAAAAGCTTGTTAGCTAGCGCCGCTTCCCATGCAAACTGTTGTTAAAGTCCTTAACGCTTGCTGCTTCTTAAACTTCTTAAACTGTTAACGCTCTTGTCCACATGAAACAAAAGCCATGATGTGATCTGTTATTTCTTTACATTTGCACACCATTTTAATTGGATTTTATATTGTTAGCCCACGGTTTCATCGTCAATGCATGTGCTCTGTTGTGTTGTGTTTGCAGTGATTGAACTGATCTAAACGAATGTTTTTTCCCTTTTGTGGTGAATGTCACCAATGTGTTATTTAATTAATAACAGTTTTGTTTATTTCAATGTCTGTCAGGATGATGACTTTTAATTGCGTATTCAATATTTGTTCGTTTGGTGTCGTAAGGTGGTATTATGTTGTGTTGACTTTGTTCACATTTCTTTAGTTTCAGTGTTATTTGGCTTTTTTGGTATTCTGTTCTTCGTGATTTTTATATGCAATAGTGGATACCTTCAGGCTACATTATGAAAGTATGTAGTAATGATTATTTGAACAATTTCCTTGTCACATCTACACTAGTTTATTTTCGCGTCTCCGGTTAATTAAAGCTACTGTTCCTCACTTTAAACCACAACCAATCCATTTGCCAACCTCGCTCTGTTTGGTTCAATCACCATTTTTCACAGCCATGTTTTTCTGTCACATCTTTGTATTAGCTTTTTCAGTCAAAACACATTCTAAGAATGAATCAAAGGGCCATGCAACATATAACATGTTTTATAAGGAAAAAACAGCGTTTTGTGATCTGATTTGTTCACAAAATGTTACTTTTAATAGTCTTTCTATTTGTCATTATTTATGGGGGATAAAATGCCCAGTATTATTACTATTACAGTTGTTGAACAAGTTTTGTCAATTCATATGGGGCAGTCTGTTTGTGAATAGATATGATGTGGATGAGGCCTATCTGGTGACTTCTCATCTTGCTCTTTGTTGTGTTAGTAGTTTGGTGAAATGTTTACACAAGTGGCTGGAGCAAATGTCTTTGCACTCCCCCTTTAAACAGTCAGAGTATTTTTACAGCTCTAAACAGTTGCAGTTCTGCCTGGTTTGTTGTGTCCTGCCCCAAGTCGAAACTACATCCCCCACCCAAAACCCCACCCGTCAGTCCTGGCCACACACGCCGGTTTCCAAGATCATTTATATACCTCCTCTTCTTGATTCAATCTCTTCAGAAATATTTGTTGTTTTTTTGAGTAAAACTTTCATAAGCAAGTGTTTCTGACAATATTAATTATCCCCATTCAATTTAATGTCATACTTTTGAGGATATCCAGGATATCCTTACAGTAATCTACAATAATCTGAAATTACAGATATCAAATTTTAGTATTACTCACAACTAATCAATTAGTTATGATTTATTATATTAGTTGAATACAGTTGAATACAATTTTAATAATCTATTAATTGTTTTTTCAGCCACACACATACAGACTAAAACGGTAATCCTTGCAGATTCAGAATGATGTTAAGATATACATGTTTTTTAATTAGACAGCGATTGTGGGTATTCTCAACACTTCTCAAAAGCTATTTCGTCCTCTTAAAATTACATTCATAGAGATGCTACGTTTATGTTTACTGGTCAATTGGTTACGGAGAAAAATACACGTTTATATTTCCTTGTATTATCCTGGCTGCAAACTTGGTCCATGATCAAAGTGGTAGAAAACCGCATCTAATGCCCAGTGAGCAGATGGCTCTGAGTGGGATATGACTGTTATCTTCATGTGGTGAATTCTTTCTAAACTTCCATTTTGTAAATAAACGTGCTTCATTGTTTAACTTGAGTCATCAAACACTGCAGTGGGAAAGGCTTGTCATTTGTACTCCTTGTGTAAAGCAGCAGTTAAACCCAGTGCTTCTTGTTACATAAGCTCTCCAGGACCTTCCCTGTAGGGTTCTCTGCTGAGTATGTGGCTGCTTTGTAGACAAACGTGGTATAAGAAGGAAATCCTGAACCATCCAAATACGTAATAGACAATTGTTACTTTAGTAACATGACCTATTCTTGTTGTAAATCATTGCTTTGTGCCTTTTCCCATTCATGTCAATATATTGCCCTTTCAAAATGTGTATGTTTTATTATGCTCATAGTTACTTCTTTCTGTATTTCTGTGCAGATAAATTCAAGTCCTGTGTTGAAGAAGACGAACGGACCAAGACCATTTCCTACAAACGCTAGTCTTGTCGTCTTATTGCTTTTTGAAACCTTAAATGATGTTTGACAAAGCCATCTTGTCGCTCTGGCAGTTCCACTGACCGACATAGTGGACCTCCACCATGGAGAGAAAACGCAGAAAGAAATGAATCTAGCTGCGTCAGCTTTTTGTGGAATGGATTTGTTTTCAGAACTGTGGACCTGAAATGCTCGATCACTACTCTTGAAGTAATTAATCCCACATTGACTGCTCATTTGTCACTTGAAGTGGTTCAAAGCGCAAAGACGTGAGGAAAATGCTGCTGCTTCCTGTGTGGATGTGTATGCTCTTTGGGTTAATGGCTGCAGTCGGGACGGAGCCAGACACTGGAGACAAACCAGCATCTGTCCCCTTACTGGTCCCTACACCAGTCTCCACACCAGTCCCTACACCGGTCCCTACACCAGCCTGCAACAGCACCCAGCTCACGCTCAAAGTCGAGTTCTCTTCTCAAGTAGTGGAACACGGTATTGCACTTTCAGTTGTACATTTAATTTAAAAGATAGGAAACATTTGTATTGACTATGTACACTACCGTTCAAAAGTTTGGGGTCACATTGAAATGTCCTTATTTTTGAAGGAAAAGAACTGTACTTTTCAATGAAGATAACTTTAAATTAGTCTTAACTTTAAAGAAATACACTCTATACATTGCTTATGTGGTAAATGACTATTCTAGCTGCAAATGTCTGGTTTTTGGTGCAATGTCGTAATTGCTGCAAATGGAGGATTCTTTGACGAAAGCAAAGCAAACAAATCTTATTTCAAATACAAATCATTATTTCTATCCTTGTCAATGTCTTGACTCTATTTTCTATTCATTTCACAACGTATGGTGGTGAATAAGTGTGACTTTTCATGGAAAACACTTGGGTGACCCCAAACTTCTGAACGGTAGTGTATATGCAGTGTTTTAATTACTTATGGGAATTTGTACCGGTTGCTTATGATTGCTGTTGTGTACTTTGCAGAGTTCATAGTGTCTTTCAATGGCTATTTCTCCGCCAAAGCTCGGAGTTTGTACATCAGCAGTGCTTTGAGAAATGCCGGAGGAGGACTGGAGTGGCACATTGTTCCCAGAGAAAACCCAGCGTCGGATTTCCCTAGTGACTTTGAGCTGGTGCACATCTCCCAGGCCTCACCCGGGAGCCTGCTCACCCTGGCGGACCACCCCTACATCAAGAGGGTGACTCCACAACGCAAAGTGTTCCGCTCCCTCAAATATGTCCCCTGTGAGTACACAGAAAATCAAGTCAAAACGTTTTGTTAAAAGAAAAACAATCTTACATTTTAAGATCTCAATTTGAAAATGGAAGATTGTACTTAACTACTTTTTCTGTAGTTAATCTAAATAGAAAATAACTTGCACTTATTTGTGAAAAATAAATGCATCCAAAAGTGTATTTCTTGGTTTCTTAGTAAATCAGGGGTACCATTTAAGTCAGATTTTTAAAGAATTTATTTGCAGATTATTCTGGAAAATAAGTATTTTGTCAATAACAAAAGTATTAAGTTGAACTTTGTTATATCCTTTGTTGGAAATTACGGAGCTCAAACGTCTTCTGTAAGTCTTCACAAGGTTTTCACACACTGTTGCTGGTATTTTGGCCCATTCCTCTAGAGCAGCCATTCCCAAACTCAGTAACACCGAGGCCCCCTTAAAAATCTGACGGGTCTGCGTGGCCCCCCAAAATAATAACCAAGAAGACAACATTAAGAATAGGCTCTTCTGGTTATTTTATTTTGGGGAAATAGCCTCTGCTACAAACATTGTAATACAAAAATGATTACAGTGGATTATTCAAGTCAAATAATGAACACAAATATTTTAATATTACAAACAAAACATTATAAATTTAACATTAAATATATATATATATTTTTTTATGACCTCCCGCGGCCCCCCTGCAGTACCCTCGCGGCCCACCAGGGGGCCGCGGACCCCACTTTGGGAGACACTGCTCTAGAGCAGTGATGTTTTGGAGCTGTTGCTGGGCAACACAGACTTTCTACTCCCTCCAAAGATTTTCTATAGGGTTGAGATCTGGAGACTGGCTAGGCCACTCCAGGATCTTGAAATGCTTCTTACAAAGCCACTCCTTTGTTGCCCGGGCGGTGTGTTTGGGGTCATTGTCATGTTGAAAGACCCAGCCATGTTTCATCTTTAATGCCCTTGCTGATGGAAGGAGGTTTTCATTCAAAATCTCATGATACATGGCCCCATTCATTCTTTTCTTTACACGAATCAGTCGTCCTGGACCCTTTGCAGAAAAAAGCCTCAAAGCATGATGTTTCCACCCCCATGCTTCGCAGTTGGTGTAGTGGTCTTTGGATGCAACTCGGCATTCTTTCTCCTCCAAAAACGACAAGTTGAGTTCTTACCAAAAAGTAAAAATTTTGGTGTCATCTTTCTATATAACATAATTCTCCCAATCCTCGTCAAGATCCAAATGCTCTCGAAAACTTCAGATGGGCCTGGACATGTTATGGCTTAAGCAGGGGACACGTCTGACACTGCAGGATTTGAGTCCCTGGTGGCGTAGTGTGTTACTGATTTGGTCCCAGCTCTCTGCAGGTCATTCTCAAGGTCCCCCTGTGTGGTTTGGGGATTTTTTGACCTTTCTTGTGATAATTTTGACACCACAGGGTGAGATCTTGCGTGGAGCCCCAGATCTAGGGAGAATATTAGTGGTCTTGTATGTCTTCCATTTTCTAATAATTGCTCCCACAGTTGATTTCTTCACACCAAGCTGCTTACCTATTACTGATTCAGTCTTCCCAGCCTGGTGCAGGTCTACAATTTTTTGTTTTTGGTGTCCTTTGACAGCTCTTTGGTCTGGGCCATAGTCGAGTTTGGAGTGTGACTGTTTGAGGTTATGGACAAGTGTCTTTCATACTGATAAGGAGTTCAAACAGGTGCCATTAATACAGGTAACAGGTGGAGGACAGAGAAGCCTCTCACAGAAGGAGTTGCAGGTCTGTGAGAGCCAGAAATCTTGCTTATTTGTAGGTGACCAAACATTTATTTTCCATCATAATTTGCAAATAAATTCTTTAAAAATGTGATTTTCTGGATTTTTCTTTCTCATTCCATCTCTCATAGTTGCTGTATACCTATGATGAAAATCACAGGCCTCCCTCATTTTTTTAAAGGAGCAGTATGTAAAAATCTGGCCAAAAATTGTGCTGCAACCTCTCCCACTCTTGCTGACTCAGGTTGCCAGATATGCAGACAAATCCAGCTGGGACCATAAAATCTGAATAGACTTCACAAATCCTCGTTTTATTCCTTTTTTTTTGTCAATAATGATCTCTTAAAGACCTGTTTTGGTTCTGCATTCACATTTTACTTTACCAGTGAGATTAATAACAAGATTTAGTAACTAATTTTGAAATTCAAATATCTCTGTTGAACTACTGTTATCAGTTCAAGAAGTATTGGAACAAAGCATGGTTTATTAATGCCTTTGACATATTAGGGTCATTTAATGATGACTTGACATGAACATCTTACATATTGCTATTTTAAGTGGGAGAACTTGAACAATTGGTGGGTGAATAAATACTTTTTTGCCCCACTGTTGAACAGCCACATGAGGCTAGTTGTGTGGAGGAAGAACGGAGCAGTGTTCTGTTGCTGAGAGAGGGGGCTCTTCATGGAGCTGGCATCAGATGAAAGACTTTGGGCTGCAAACACAACATTTAAGCTGTGTGGCATTCTGGAGGGTTTAGATTTACAGTTTAAGGCATAAGATTAAATGTACATGGGGTAATGAGCTGAAAAATTGACTCACAACTGGTATTTTTTCTGCCATCACTCTTTTAAGCACCTTGTAAACAATGACAAGATAATTACTGTAATCTATTTTTGTAGTTACCTAATATTGCCTTTAAGCAAGTTTAAGACTTCGTTTGCTCTTTACAAATTTTGATAGGTGAAAATATTGTTTTAGATTCAAATATCTTGACCTCTAATAAATGTAGGCATTCATGTTTAAGTGAATTATGTTTACATGTTCAAATGAAACCGTCTCATTGGCTCACATTCTGTCTCTGTTCCCTCAGCACCTGAACCCACTGCTCCCTGTAACGGCACAGAGACGGAGAGATGGCAGTCGTGGCAGTCGTCGCGTCCATTCAGAAGAAACAGTCTGTCTCTGGGCTTTTGGCACGCCACCGGGCGCCACTCGAGCCGCCGTCTTCTACGTGCCATCCCTCGTCATGTGGCACAGATCCTGCAGGCTGATGTGTTGTGGCAGATGGGCCACACAGGTTAGTTTTTCCATCAGGGTTATTCAGTGAATGTATTCTGTATATTGTGAAACTATCTTCTCCAAGTGCCATGTTCCTGAAATCATGTTTTGTGTGCGTAGGATCTGGTGTGAAAGTGGCCGTCTTTGATACAGGCCTCAGCGAAAAACACCCTCATTTTAAAAACGTAAAAGAGAGGACCAACTGGACAAATGAAAAAACACTAGACGATGGTGAGACAAAAAGAGACCAACATTTCTAGCATGCTCATATGTTGTAACTAACTGTAATGTGTCTTGATTTCTAGGCCTCGGTCATGGTACATTTGTCGCTGGTGTAATCGCAAGTATGAGAGAATGTCAAGGTTTTGCTCCTGATGCAGAACTGCATATTTTCAAAGTGTTCACAAATAACCAGGTACAGAAATTAAAACCGGAGACTTGGGTTTAATGACTGTTTTGGAAATCTGTAATGTTTAACATCACTTCCATAGGTTTCCTACACCTCTTGGTTCCTCGATGCTTTCAACTATGCCATATTAAAGAAGATTGATGTTCTGAACCTTAGCATTGGTGGCCCAGACTTCATGGATCATCCATTTGTAGATAAGGTGACCCAAATGGAGCAGAGCACTCCTTTATTTCATTACTTTATTTAGTTAAGTTAATCCACTTATAATTCATACATGGAAGATAAATACATTTTCAGAGATTTATAAAAACAGTACATTTTAGAGCGTAGCTGGGTTTTTATTATTATTCCTAGAAGTGAAAATAATTTTAGGATTTGGTTCTTGAATGCAAATAGAAGGGTAGCAATTTGCTTTGAATACAATAATATAGTACAAATAAAGTTTTTGAAAATAAATATTTACTGTTTTTTGGCTTTGACAGGTGTGGGAACTGACGGCTAATAAAGTGATCATGGTATCTGCTATTGGCAATGATGGACCTTTATACGGGTAAGATTCCAAACACTCATTTAATATTGGTATGCGCAGTGTTGGGTAAGTAGCAGCTAAAAAGAAGCCACACAGACAGAAAGACAACTGCTTGTTTCTTGGAGCGCATCCTTTATGATTTAGACTCAGCTGCTCTGTGTTCTAGGACTCTGAATAACCCTGCAGATCAGATGGACGTCATCGGTGTCGGTGGAATAGACTTTGAGGACAATATTGCCCGGTTCTCCTCCAGGGGCATGACAACCTGGGTAATGTACTTTTTTGAACATTATCATTACCCCAACCATTGTTGGTCACGTCAATTCAAAACAGGAGTTGGTTACAATGACTAATTACTTCTCCCCACCACTTGCAATACTAACTGCATTAAGGAGAGGCAAAAGTAGTTAATTACCAGCTAAAGTAACTGCAGAAATCCATGGACTCAAAGCAGTACTTACTTACTTACGCATCCCACTGCTCTTGTCTGCTGTTACTCTCATTATTACTGTTGCATAAACATGATATATACCAAAAATACATGTTTCCCGTGTTTCGGAAGTGCTGTGCGTGTCGCTAAAACCAATAAAATCAGAAAAGTACTTTGGCCACCGCCTACTGCTCCCGGTTGGTCCGCTGTAACATCAGTCAGTTTCTTAACCAATGAGCATCTCTGATCTACTTACAGTTTAAAACCGATCATAAAAAACGATCTCTTTCCAATGATCACGCCACGATAAAAGTAACGATCTACTGTGCACTCAAAGTAACGATAACAGAAGCCACTGATGAGATTACTCGCTGTTATACACTTCGTACCACTAACACTGCCCCAACACACTGCCATAAAAACTCAACTAACATGTAATATGCATGATTCTCTTTATTTAAACTCACTCAGAGTTAGTTAGTGAGTCTGATTCCGTTCCTATCCTCACCTCACCTCTTCCCCTGGCATATACATTTTGCACAGACAGCTCTGATTGACACACCGCACTAAATGTTTTGGAATAATTCATGAATGCGGCTTCACTCAACTTCATCGAAATCATCTTGTTACTTATCGACCATTGTCTATATACACTTTGTATATAGACAAAGTGTATATAGTGTATATATAAAAATTTGACTTTGTAATGAGTCTTTTAAAGAACTGCGTATTTTGCATCTCAGAAATGCAGATGAAGGTGAATTTGTTCTCTAATTATATTCAGTCTTGGAAAACAATAGCGTTCTCTCCATTGCTTTACAACAGTAGAGCTGAGAAGCGTTCAAGCTCAAACGCGTTAACAAAGCCAGGGCTGACTGGTGCTGCAGCTGACTGCTCCACCAGCTACAATGTCACAAGGCAAATAAAGAAAATGTCAAACTACAGTGTACCTCTGCTGGAACATGGGTTGTATAGTGTGCTGCTGAGCAGACGTCATTATATCTTGAACTACTCTTTATACGCCACTTTATATTTGAAATACATGCAGCATTCAAAGTAAATGGAAAATAATTTAGCATGACACAAGATATCTTAATGGGGTAAAGGGTCTTGAGGTAATAATGTGATCATCCTGTCTAAATATGACTTGACAAATGTTGCTCCTGCCTGATACACATTAATATTGATCTTTCCTTGTGCAGGAGCTGCCAGGAGGCTATGGCCGTGTGAAGCCTGATATTGTGACTTATGGCTCTGGGGTGCGAGGGTCTGGGATGAAGGAAGGCTGCCGCTCGCTGTCCGGCACCAGCGTGGCCTCTCCAGTGGTGGCTGGGGCCGTCACACTCTTGGCCAGGTTTGTGCATGTAGTCATTTCTGCATTTTGTTTCTTAGAAGGACACATGTTTCTGTAATTTGTTTTTGCAACCTCAAAATACCTGACACCACTATCATACATCAGACATGAGTGTGGAGCTGAGGTGCAGTTACTTTAGAATATTCTGAATATAGAAAAGATGAAGCAAAGCTTTCCTAGATGAGTTTTAAGATAAAACATGTAAATGATCTAAAATCTTCAGAAGAGAAAGCATGGGGGAATAATGAAGCCTCTTAAGCTCGAGAAACGAGAAAAAAAATATTTCTGCTGGCAATAGCAGATGTATTTTGAACTTCATAATCCACAAGCTATATATCATTTTAAAGCTTATTTTCTCAGCTATATTTATATGTAAGTGTAAACGATATCAGACTTTGTATTAAAAAGATATAACGCATAATATGGGCACAAAATAAATTGTGTTTGTATAAGTTTCTTACCTTTCGTCTTCTGCTGCTCCAACAAATTAGACTTTCCCCATCCTTGCTTAGTCTCTTTCTCTCCGTAAGTCTTCATTGAAAAAGAATATCCACTTGTATTTCCCAAAGTATAATCCATTCTTCAGAAGTAACCCAAAAATGCGCATATTTCTGTTGCAAAAAAAAAACGCTCCGAAAAATGTTCAGGCTTCTCTTTCACATTCCACCAAGTTTGAGCTTTGTTTACCCCCACAAACATCATATCCACGTGATCCTTGAGTCCTTAGCTTCAAAAAGAAAAGATGAAAAGATAGGAGCAGTTTTCAGTCCGCAGGACCCTTGTGAAAAAGACAAACCGCATCCACTTGCACAGGGTCCTTTTTCCCTTGTTGTTGATTACAGGCTAGCGCAATGAGCTAGCACTGAATGATTGACGTGTCTAAGTAGCCAATAAAAAGAGCTTTCTTTTGGTGGGTGGGACTTGTAGGAACTCTTTTCATTTTCACAGTAAAAGCGTGCGTAAAGACGCTGTTACATTGCTGCGCATATTTTATATGCATTTACACTGCTAAAAAGGATGCAGAGTGAAATAGGAATGACATACATTATTTCAGTGTATATTTGCATAAACTAGAAGGGCCCAGCTTTAAAATGATGCATCACACAAGCATGTGAGATGTAAGATGTGTTTTTAAATAAGCAAAGATATTTGGGTATGCCGAACTTTTGTGCACGAGCCAAAACGGATGTAGGAGCTTAAGAGGTTAAGAATGTATTTACACATGTATAGCAGTGTACATGTTAGTTTCTTTTCTGTTTTACCTGTGGTTAGTGGTGCAGTGGTTCAGGTAGAATGTATTTGTATCATATCTAAGTTGGTGGAATATCTTACTTTACTTTCTCAAAATATAATGACATGTCTTTGAGTGGATATTTTTGGATTAACTGTTACAGATAAAGCTTCTAGAAGAACGCACGTGCAAGATGTTAGTGAGGATTTGTGTAACTGATTCTTGAGAAACTAAATCTGTTGCCACAAACTTACGTCAGGAGCCAATGAGATGTGACCCTGTGGGAAGTGTTCGCTTTTTCAACATTCTTTCTTTCATTCATTCTTTTAAATTGTGAAAGCCTTCTTGTCGTGTACATGTAATTGAATCCATGTGCAAGTTTGCAAATGGCTCAAATTGCGAAATGAAGAATCGCACTGCTATTGTTGAAGAATGAGGTCGCCAGTTTTCTCCATGACATATATCTAGATCTCTATCTGTGTCTTTGTAGGTGCTCACAGTGAGTCCCTATCTTTCTGCAAATGTACAAATCCATTCTAATATATCCATTAAATTACAGAAAAATTACAGCAATTAAACAGCTTATCTATAGTCTGTATTGTGTGTAAACAAAAACACAACAATAACAGAATCCCGACACTATAAAGCAGTTTGCTGTTTTGTGTGTTTTTGTGTGCTATTTTTCATGTTTTTTTGTATACTCCAACATCATATAACTGATAGTATGTTATGTTTATTTAAGTTTATGTTAGTTTATAGGACTACCGCAGTCTTCCCGTTGCCCTCAAGTTATTTTTAGATTGTTACCCCTGCGATAAATAAGGCGCTGATGTATTGTAGTGGTGGGGAAAATAAGTATCGCAATATTTTGCGCACACAGTTAAATTGATACAAAAGAGCAAAGTGTTGCAATGTTTAACTTTTAATTATCTGTTTCACTTTATTCTCTTATTTTTTATACTCATATTCTTATCTAAATAAGAGTTTTTTAAACCGTCCGGCGGTCTCCAAGCAGGAGCGCACCATACACCACCCATTCTTTGTATTTTCAGTTCAAGAGTGAACTCATTTTTCTGGTCTGGTCCTTTTTAGTTGGGATGAAAACCTGCTGCCACACCAGCCCTTTTTAGACGACTGATCTTGAAGACTACTGATCTAAATGTATCTGAGGAACTGCAGATTAGGATAATAATAATAATGTGTTTGAAACAATATTGTCTCTGTATCCACAGCACTGTGCTGAACCGGGAGCTGGTGAACCCGGCCTCCATGAAGCAGGCTCTGATCGCTTCTGCCCGCAGACTGCCAGGGGTCAACATGTTCGAACAGGGCCACGGGAAACTCGACCTGATTCGGGCTTACCAGATCCTCAACAGCTACAGGCCCCAGGCCAGGTAAAGGAGATAAAACATCATTGCATTAGTAATATTCTTTAATTTTTGTGAGAAATAGTCAGAAACCTTGTTTTTTAAGTGCACTCAAATTGTCAATTTTTAAGTTGGGACTTATTAAAAGAGTAAGTTTAATGGCTCTCCCTGTCTTTGCTCGCAGCTTGTCTCCCAGCTACATTGATCTAACAGAGTGTCCATACATGTGGCCTTACTGCTCTCAGCCCATCTATTACGGAGGAATGCCCACTATTGTAAATGTGACCATTCTGAACGGAATGGGCGTCACAGGCAGGATTGTGGACAAGGTGAGCTCTACAACACTGCACCTACACCAGGTTTGATCCTGCTTTTGTGACATTAATAATATTTGTCTTCCTGTTCAGCCGATCTGGCAGCCTTATCTACCCCAGAATGGAGACCACATAGATGTGGCCCTTTCATACTCTCCAGTGCTGTGGCCGTGGGTGGGCTACTTGGCGGTTTCCATTTCTGTTGCAAAGAAAGCGGCGTCATGGGAAGGAATCGCTCAAGGTCATGTGATGGTCACAGTTACCTCACCCGCAGAGAACAATGTGAGTCATTTCTCAACCATAAGATTGTGTCAGTGGACTTGGAAACTGTCACATAATGTCTTCTTCCTAAATATATTGCAGTCAGAGGTGGATGGAGAGTTGACCTCCACTGTCAAACTGCCCATCAAAGTGAAAATTGTGGCCACACCTCCTCGCAGTAAGAGAGTTCTCTGGGACCAGTACCACAATCTGCGCTACCCACCTGGCTACTTTCCCAGAGACAACCTCCGCATGAAGAACGACCCGTTAGATTGGTTCGTTCACCATACCATTCAACTTTTTGCTTTGTTTGTACACTGAACATAATGTGTTCTGTATTTTCTGTGAAATGATTTGTTTACAGGAATGGGGATCATATTCACACAAACTTTAGGGACATGTACCAGCACTTAAGGAGCATGGGGTACTTTGTTGAAGTGCTGGGAGCCCCAATCACATGTTTTGATGCCAGTCAGTATGGTACGAGCGTATTGTAATGTTATTACTGTATGTTTTTTTCTCATTCCTTTGGACTTCTTTGGCAAAAAATATGAAATGTTTATCTACAGGCACGTTGCTAATGGTGGACAGTGAGGAGGAGTACTTTCCAGAGGAGATTACAAAGCTGAGGAGGGACATAGATAATGGCCTATCGCTCATTGTCTTCAGTGATTGGTACAACACGTCTGTCATGAGAAGGGTCAAGTTTTATGACGAAAACACAAGGTAATCATCTGCGATCATCTGGCAACACCTGCGCCAAGACAAAGATACTGCCACACATTAATCACATACATGCCCTTCTGTGTTTATTGATCTAATGTATGCAGAAATGGGGAGACGTTTTTCTTTTCAGCTTTTTGCAATTGTTTACTCAGGAATAAAAAAATTAAAAATACTATCTCTGAGTCCCAAAGGTATACACTGTTTATTGGTCTGGAAAAGATGCATTATTTGCATCAAGCTAAGCAAGCACACTGCACAATATTTTATACAGGAAATCCTATACGTGATTTTGCATTGTAAAATATTACTTTTTTGTTTGTAACATTTATTGTTCTTTTCCTTATTCTTTGCAGGCAATGGTGGATGCCAGACACAGGGGGCGCCAATGTACCGGCTCTGAACGAGCTGATCTCTGTGTGGGGAATGGCTTTTAGTGATGGGCTGTATGAGGGAGACTTTACTCTATCTGACCATGACAGTAAGTGTTAAACGTGCTGCTTCTCTGCACTCTCTTTCTTTAAAATTCTCTTTGTTTGCAGTGTACTATGCCTCTGGGTGTAGTATCGCTCGCTTCCCAGAAGATGGGATTGTGATTGCTAAGAATTTAAAAGATCAAGGTACTGCATAGACGTTTACCAGTTTGAAAAGCTAACCTAGTCCAGATAAAGTCATCAATGATATGTGTGTGCAGGACTGGAAGTGCTCCAGCAGGAGACTGCAGTAGTAGAAGCTGTGCCCATTCTAGGACTGTACCAAACCCCATCTGAAGGGGGAGGACGTATTGCACTCTACGGAGATTCCAACTGTATTGACGACAGCCATCGGCAGAAAGGTATTTTTTTTGACTAAGCTGTTGAATATTTGCTCCCTGAAGATAAACACATTTCTGTATAACATGTTGTGTTTGTTTTTTCTAGACTGCTTCTGGTTGCTGGATGCTCTCCTGCAGTATACCTCTTACAGCATGACTCCTCCAAGTCTGAGCCACTCCCACAGCAGAGTAGCGCCACCGACAGGCTTAGAGCGGCCACTGCCACAGAGACTGGAAGGTACAGTTACAATGGAGGACATAGAAAAAGCTGTGGTTTGTGTAAATAACTGTTTGCTTTTCCTTTTAGGAAACCATCTTTACCGGTACTCTAAGGTTTTAGAGGCACACCTGGGTGACCCGAAGCCCCGCCCCCTCCCAGCCTGTCCGCACCTGTCGTGGGCCAAGCCTCAGCCGCTAAATGAGACCGCACCGAGGTGCGTGAAAAGACTCACTAGTGGAATTTCTGACAAATCCATTTAGATAATTGTTTAAATAATTATTTTGTAAGATTTGGCTGGACATAACTGTCTCTGGTTTATTTTTTGACAGCCTAATGTGACTGTTTAGGATGATTGAAGCATGCCTGTATATTCTTACATTTAAATAAATTGATAAAAAATGTAGTTTAACATGTTGGCAAAACTTGACTTCATCTGATGATTGTTCTTTTTTGATTTTATTATAAGTACAAAAGATTGGGGGCTATCCTGCATTGTTATAATACACCACTATATATAGTTCCAGGCAAATGCATTATGTCTTTGAAACAAATTTCGATTTCAGGGCTTTGGCTCTGAAATCGTTATAGAAATCATTATGTCTTTGAAACAATTTTTATGATCCAGAACATACTGTTGGTCACTACATGTACTGTCCATGTGATAAAATACACATCGGTCAATGGACAGAATAAGAGCAGCAGCTTTCTGTTGGTCCTATTCAGTCCACCTGCACCTGAATTATTTATGTTTAAATACCTGCGCTGTCATTCTAGTAACCTATGGAAACACCAGAAGCTTTTGTCAGTGGATCTGGACAAAGTGGCTTTACCCAATGTGAGGCCATACAAACCCCAGGTTAGGCCCCTGTCTCCTGGGGAGAGTGGTGCCTGGGACATCCCTGGAGGTAAGACCTCATGCACTGTATATGCTTTTAGAGGTGTGTAATCACATGCTAACTTTACTCTCTCTTTCAGGAATAATGCCTGGGCGCTATAACCAGGAGGTCAGCCAGACCATTCCAGTTTTTGCCTTTCTTGGAGCTATGGTGGTTTTGTCTTTTTTTGTGGTTCAGCTGACCAAGGCCAAGAGTCGGCCTAAACGCAGGAAGCAGCGGGTGAAGCGGCCCACATACCTGCAGCAGACAGCCACCGGGAAGAACCCCACGGTTTGACTGAAAGTCTGAACCGCAGCATCTGTTGAGGACCTGGGTCTGTACTGGTCTTGGACTTTTAAAACCAGTATAGTATTTGAATGGTCTCCTTACGGCCGTGTTAGTATTCGTGAACTGATGAACTGTGTTAGAAAGTGTTATGTTCAACGTGAGGCCACAGTCAATGAGAACTCTGAACATCTTTACTGGAGCGATCACTCTGGTTATTGCCCAAAATGTTGCCAGACCAAATGTTTGAATGAAATGTTTTTATATTTATTTAATTTTGTTGTGTTCCAAACCATACAATGCTTGCACTGTACCCAACTTCAAGTCGGTGGTTTAACTATGACCAAAATCATAATATCCTGCCAATATTTCATAACTGGATATGACCATAGTTGCATATCATCTTTGGTAATTTGGAACCTGTTTCTGTACATTGTTCTTTTTTAACCTGTAATAAGAAACTGAACAGACGTTGGGGGATACTGTTGGTGTTTATCAGCTGCATTGACAGACTATAATATACATTAAAAAAGCAATGGTATGCATTGTTGTTGTTGTTATTCAAGTTTCTATTGTGATAGAATGTATCAGAGGCCCCCAAACTATTCTCTTATTGGTGAAATCGTTATAGATGAGCAACTAGCTGAGTGTGCTCAGAGTATTGGTAGAACGCACTGATGCGGTGGACGTTGATGTGATGGGCGTTGATGGGTGCCGGTGCGCTCTACGGCCGGGGCTTTGGCTCTTTATCCGAGCCTAATAGGCCCAATCAGCCTGTGAATCTGTCAGCGTCCTCAGGGACGACGGCCCCACTGAAGAACTAATCTCCCTCTGAACCTTGGGAAACTGGGAAATGACCCTGGAGCCAGCTAGCTGTGCTAACAAGATTTGGAAAAGCTGGTGGTGAGTGGAGGTCACATGCCCTCGTTCCCTTCTCTGTTCCCAGATGCCAGGACTTCCTGACGGGCCAATCACATCGCCTGCTCTCATCCTGAACAAGCACTTGAAAGAGACAGTGTGGCGGCTAAAGGCTGGACTCTGCAGATCAGTCCTCAGCCTCCTGTGGAGCACATACAGCTGCAACCTGCTCACATGTCTGAATCATACAGTCATGGTCTGAACGCCTCTGATTGTGGCTGTGCCTTAAGCCTTTTATTGATGCCCTCCTTTCCAATGTGTCCTCCACCCGACCATCACATTCAGAAAATAAATGATCAAGTGCCTGAAATTAATACTTAACCATTATGCTATCCTTGCGTCATATTGACGCGCCAGTGTTTTTATTTTTGTTTTTTCTATCTTGACCAGCCGTGGGTCAATTTTCTATTAAATGATCCAAGGAAACAGACCTGCATTTGTGTAGTTTAATGAAGTAACAAAGTACAACCAAAAATCACTTTGCAATGGAGAGGCTCCTGTTGTTCCTCCTCTAGTGGCCCAGCAAAAGAATTGCTCGTTGCTCAACAATGGGATTCACATAAGCGTTATCAGAATGCTCAGCTCCCTCATTGGCCAATTGCCACAGGAAAAACACACCTCTACACTGATTATTTCCGAATAGGTAACTAAAGGTAGGAAAGGGAGAGAAATAAATGGGTTATGGGCGGTCGAAAGGACAGGAGCAGAGGACGCAGGAACAGGACATTGTCTCCTTCCAAGATCACATCATCCACATGATTAGGAAAACAGTCACATCCTGTCATAAAACAAAGCCCTCTGAACCATTTGTTCACCATCACATTTCACCCACTATGCTTAAAACATGTTTATATAATTTTTACCATTACAGACCCTAATTAAGGGAATTTTTCTTCTCCTTTTAGTCACTGTGGTGTGTCATTTCTGATCTGAGAATAGCACGAGGAATTATTCCAGGCAACTATTCAATGTTTATGAGGATAAGTGTCAATCAAAAAGCCTGTAATGCATCTTTACACTTTGTTTGTGTTAGCTATTGGAATTTTACAATCTCTAGAGCTTGTGAATTTAAATCGTCTGTTGTCCAGCACATACAAAAGTTAGGGTCAGGCTGCTCTGTTTGGGGAAAGTTCAGTTTTACTTTAAGTGAACTGAGTTTACAGTCTCTGAAAATAGTTTAGTTTCATGTCAGTGTAAGTCACTGCAGTAACAGATTCTGTTCTGGACACCAACACGGACAATCAGCTCACTTACAACAGTAATACACTGGTATTATATAATTATCTGTACCACTACCACCCGATGTTAAAATAGATCCATGCTACCACCCTATCTCACTAACTCTAGAGATTCTGACATGCCCAGCGTTGCCAACTTTTCACTTTTTGTTTGAAGAAGCTGATCTAAAGTCGTGGCTGAGGCCTAAAATACATGCATGTGAAAGCTAGTGATAATAAAACCGTTTTGAGCTGGGATGATTTGAGTTCCGTTATTGACAGTCGTCTTTATGAGCGCATCTCTATAATGCGTCACACTGTTTCAATGCATTTTTCCACTTTCATGTTTTTTTTTTTTAAATATATTTTGAAGATATTAAAATTGACGGGGGCCAATTGTATTTAGAGACAATTTAGCTGCGACTTTTAGCTACTTTCCTTCATGAGGAGTTTAACTCTGGTGCTCACCGACGGACAGGTGAAGCACAAACTATATTGTTACGGACAAACGAACAATGAGAATACATAATTTAATGCTAAAACACTAATGTTTGAGAGGAAAGTGAAAGGAACATCCCCTTAATAGCCACACCCTGCCCCTGCGCACTCCCACCATGCTCCCACCCTGCAACAGCCCAGACTGAGACCCGGAGAGAGGGCTGCTCTGCTCCTGTCCGGACACAGAGAGCACAGGGACCACAGAGAGCACAGGGACCACAGAGAACAGAGGGACCACAGAGAGCAGAGGGACCACAGAGAACACAGGGACCACAGAGAGCAGAGGGACCACAGAGAACACAGGGGCCACAGAGAGCAGAGGGGCCACAGAGAGCAGAGGGACCCTGAGAGCTCATGAGTTCCAGGTGACGGCCTGCGTGTCTGTGCTGAAGCCGCGCTATGGAGGAGTTGGCCCGGGAGAGCATCAGCCTGCTGGCCTCCGCCTCCCACAAGTCCCCGCTGCAGTGCGGGCCCCGGCTGGGCTCCACGGGGGCCGTGTTCATCATGCTGAAGTCTGCGCTGGGAGCAGGCCTGCTCAACTTCCCCTGGGCTTTTGACAAGGCTGGAGGCGTCCACAACGCGGTCACCGTGGAGCTGGTGGGCACACTTACACACTTACACCTTCATCACACACGAGCATGAAAAATAGGCTAATTAGCTTTTAATGATCACGTTCAGTCTATACTCAATAAAAAATTAACCTCTTTGTCTTTCTTGTCTTTGACCTACGTTTCATTTTCATGATTTTCTCCTTTCAAACAATTTACTGTTTATTTATTTAATTCAACGATAGACCTTGTAACTTTTCAAGTCACATCTCCATAACAACGGAGGAAGCTGTATCAGGTCTATGGAGATGCAAGCCCGCTCTGATACCTGTATAATGCCATATAACAGCACACGGTGCAACACACATTCTAAATGAGAGCCTGTTTTTCTGACAACAATGGATTGGATTTCTAATCCTAATGTGTCAACATTCTGTGGGTAGATTTTTTTAAGCGGGTGATTATGAATCATGGTCATAAGCCTATTGTTGAAAACCTCACTAAGAATGATGGTTGAATTATACGTGGTTTACATTTGTTTATTTTGTGTCTTTATTTGTATCTAATTTAGTATTGTTTAATAATGTAAATCTGCTGTTAACATGAGCTGTCAATCAGTGAACATTTCTTAGACACCTGCTCCATTGAAGCCTTTCCTCCCCATTTCCTTTCCAAACACATTTCTTTTTGAAGTCAAAGGTTGTGCCTGGGGCTGCCCTGTGCTTTAAGCGCATTGACCCTGGACATGGCTAATGAGCTGTTCAGTCTGAGTTGTGTTTGAGGCCGTCACAAAGGCCTTTTAATCTGACTCATCGAGCTAAACAGTTGTGATTTACCCCTATGATACCCACATCGGCCACATGTTCAGTGACTGAAGCAGAGCAGCACCCGAGCAGTACCCGGGCCACAGGGCAGTATTCTAACATGATGCAGACCTTAAACACCTCCAAAGTGACCACTGCCTTTTGAATGATGCTGAGGTCAAGAGAGAAATAAATACTATTGAGCATCTGGAGTATTCTCAAACATAAGGGGTCTATCAGGATGGAGGAGAGTGACATAAATGGTAAATGTGGAATGAACTCCAGATCTGCCAGTTTAGACAGGGTATACCTAACTTTTCAAACCACAATAAAATGGAACTATATAATAAAGCCTTAAGCTATGTCCTCGCTCTCAAAGTAGTTGAGTTTTTTGAGGGGGCAGTCCAGTGTCATTTATGATTCTTTGTCTCATGGAAAGATTTAGTCACGTGTGCAGAAATGTGAGTGTTGTCCCGGTGTCTGTGGCAGATGTCGCTGGTGTTCCTGGTCAGTGGGCTGATCATCCTGGGATACTCCTCGTCTGTGACTGGGGGCTGCTCGTATCAGGCGGTGGTCCGAGAGCTGTGCGGAACCTCCATCGGGCAGCTGTGTGAGCTCTGTTATGTCTTCAACCTCTTCATGATCGCCGTGGCCTTCCTCGTCATCGTCAACGACCAGATCGACAAACGTGAGCAGCAGCTTGTGCCACTGCACACACACATCTGGTGTTGGCCGACTGTATTATCACTGCAATATCTTTTGAGACAGCTTCATGCCACTGACAACATGACTACATGACAACATGGGCGGCACGGTGGCTGAGTGGATAGCACTCTCGCCTCTCAGCAAGAAGGTCCTGGGTTCGAATCCCGGTCGGACCAGGGCCTTTCTGAGTGGAGTTTGCATGTTCTCCCCGTGTCTGCGTAGGTTTCCTCCGGGTACTCCGGTTTCCCCTACCACTAAAAATATGTCCAATAGTTCTGGCATGCGCTTCCTGTACTGGCAACCCTGCTCCCATCTCTGTGTGGAGTGAGAGACAAATGCCCAAAATTAACAATTGTAAACCGCTTTGAGACTCAGATCTGCAGTGAAAAGGCGGTATATAAATAAAAACTTACTATGACTAAAGAAAGATTATTACCCCAAAACTTTTTTCCTAGCTCTGCTTTTTGTTCATGTTCAAACCAAGGCCCATGGGCCAAATGTGGCTTTCTTTGTTGTTTTATGTGGCCCTCTGCCTTGCTAACCCAAAGTAGCCATTGAGCCATCTTCAGCTGCTCCACCTATAGCGTCATGCTGCATCTTTTTGTAAAGCATGTCACTTTTGGAATTTATATGTATATGCTGTTTTGGATTGTCACAAAATTCCTGGTGCTAATGTAGCTGCGTTGTGAATCAATATCAGTGAAGCCTAGAACAGCCCAAATTCAGTCAAAAAAAAAAAAATTGCTATCCATGTTGTCGGCTCTTGGACAAGTCTGGTGAAGTTAAATCACACTAACAATACAACAACAAAATCATTAAGGAGTAGGTAGAAGAAAAACTTACCATACGTACATCGAAACTCCTATTATACTACTAACACTATTTTACACATAGTATTTATTGCAAATGTTCCTTCTATTTATGAAATGATGCATGGATATACAGTATTAATCCGAAGAGTGTATGTGTTTTATTCCATTTCAGTGCGTGGCTCCCTGTATGAGGTGCTGACCGGGCTGCCCGGCTCAGAGATGCCCTATCGCTGGTACACTGACCGCCACTTGGCCCTGGTGCTGCTCTGTCTGTGCCTGGTCCTGCCCATGTCCATCCCCAAAGAGATCCGGGTGCAGAAGTACATCAGGTCAGTGCACAACTTCACACTAGCGCTCTCCATGAGCTGTCTGATTGTTGGGTTTATTCATGTTTTTGGTGTTTTAACCAAGACTAGATTCACATTTTACTTGCGCGTAAAGTTCTAAAATCTTATTATCTTGACACAAACAGACACTCCAGTACACAGTAGATATGGGTAAATGTTTTCCTTTGACATTAGAGTGTCAGCATTAATATTAATAATACAGTATATTATTATCCTCTAGAATATATGGCTTATTCAGGCATATTGATGTTTTTCGTTTAAAATAAATACAAATTATGTATTTGAGTAACCTACACAGTCACAGGGGAAAGGTTCTGTCTGGAGGTGAAATCCAACCCAGGACATTCTTTCTGTGAAATGTTAGAGCTTACCACGGCGCCAACAGAAGACAAACAGTTGTTTGGTGCCAGATGTTTGTTGATAATGACACAATAATATGACAAAACTGTACCACTCCTGTGTAACTTTTGGAAGGTCATCGTCTTCATCATAAATGAGCTCTGGTCTTTGGGTGGAGTCACTGTGGGAAAACATTTATCTCATGAAAGATGAGGAGTATTGATTTGTACCATAGTTAATTAATAATTCATACTTAAAGCCAGGGTACATTTAACTTGAACTTATTTCTTCATAAATAATACATATTCTTTGTTCCAACAGGAAGGCTGAACAAATCAGACCACCACATTTCTCTTATTAGAAAACTAATGATGGAACCAAACTGAGAGCGAGTAACTAGTTAAATGGGTTTGATTACATAGTTATTTTTGTGGTTCAAGTGTTCACAAACTTCAGCTGCACAGATCCTCAGGAGTGCAGTATAAATGATCAGTGTTGTGACCCCATAGCAGGTGCTGACCCCTGCTGACCCCCCTCATTAATGCAAACATCTGATATTATTAACCTCGCTGATTCGTTCATTCGTCTTTATCTTTTTTCCCAGTGTTTTAGGCACTTTTGCGGCTGTCTACCTGACCATCGCCATCATCATCAAATACTACACCATGCCTTCTGTCCTGCCGCGCTCCACCGCTCTGATCAGCACTGGGTATGTTTTTGTTATTATAGCTGTTATACAAGCTCAGTGGGCCTCATTCATGAAACTTGCGTACGGCCAAATCAAAGTGTTAATGAGGCGAACGCAAAAAATTCACACTTTTCGGCATTTATCAAAATGCGGTACGCACAAAATATACGCCAAGTCAGGAAGTAGTGTAAATGTGTACGCTTATTTCAACCTTCATTACAGCACGCCGAAAACACGCCTGAAATACAAGATTTGGACCAAATAAACATGTTAAAACTCTAACACTCTGGAAACACGCGAATTTCGAATGAATCACAGATCATGATGAGGACCCTCTTCTGTTTCCTTCGTTTTAAAATCTGACTTGTGTGTGTAATATTTTCATCTGTATGTTTATTTTGTATTTTATTTTTATATGAAGCGCTTTGTCACGCTGCTCTGTGAAGGCGCTATATACAAATACACCTGGCTTACTTACTTAATGTGTGTTACGCATGGCTATTTGTTTTGTCTCATTCACCTCTGGCAAAACAACGTATTTCTTCATTAGTTTTGTGCATAAAGCCCCATAAACGCAGCGATGGCAGAGATATGGCAAAGCACTTTTTTGCAGGAACGGGCTCACGGCACTCGCCATATGTGGTGCGACGTTTTGGAGTTTCTCTGTGATATCACGGACTCATACGGATCCTTTCTCTCTCACAGAGATCGCTCCATTGCATTCACAAGAAGATGTGATACTAGGGAAAGAACGCGTGAATAAAGAAGCGTTTTTAGTTTTTTTTGGACAAGATAATACAATGAAACTCAATATAAACTGTGTCACTAACAGGCCTTCTGAGGCTTCCAACTAGACTTGCTTTCATCCTGAGCTGTCGTGAAAACGGGGCGTGAAACAGGCGGTTTCTGAATATTTTTAGGCGTGACTTTCATAAATACGCTGGCTTTTCACCGCAGCATTTATCAACAGCCGCGGCTGCGTACGCTCAGATCTGTGCGTATCTCACATGTTCATAAATTCCGCGTTGAGTCTGGCGTAAATGGAATATACACCAAAAATATACACCCTTTTCTGCGCATGTTTGATAAATGAGGGCCACTGCCTCTAGAATTCAAGAATTGACTTTGAATTTACAGACAATTTTTTTTTTTTTTTTGCGAAATGATTTGGGTAGCGCTAATGTAGCTGGTGAGATGGTACATTTGTGTAGTTTGTTTTTGATGCCATAAAACTCCTTTCCATCCACAATCAATACGGATGCCAGATAATCACATTCCAATGGGGACTTTTCACAGAATTATTAGTTTATTTTGTACGGGACAATGCTCATGAACAGCAGGAGCTTAAAGTCCACCAGATTGTAGCAAAGTAGCTCATTTCCATCTATAATTATTCAGCCTACTGTCATTCCGCTGTCTAGGACTTGCTGTTGTACTGTGCAATAGTAAGAGCAGCTCTTTAACCATAAGACCAAAGTCACTAAACCTGAATTAAGTTACTATTGACTTATGTTAACGAAGAGTTTGGTAATTTACTTTCCTTGTAAAGCGGTCAGAAGGTTGTGTTGCAGCTGAAGGTGTGCGTTTCATTGAGGAGAGTGAGAGTGATCCTCCGTTTCTCTTTTCTGTTTGAATAAGGTAGATCAAAATATGTGACAAAAACTAAATAAATGTAGTAGTACAGTATGCATGTGAAAACTGAGCCGTTTTGAGAGCAAGGAACAAGACGGATTTTGTTACATGGTTCCATTTCTGTGGTTGGAAACTTGGGTCCAGTTATAGTCAGTCGATATCAACGTAGTGCTTAGTTTATATATTGGTGCTGTTTCCCAGCCGGGGGTACGCAAGGGGATTGGTACGAGCACATAAAATGATCATCAAGTACCATTATTAACTTGCAAACATTGTTAGGTTTATGTGGGCTACCATTGCATGATGCTGTATATTTTAAAGCAAATTCTCAAAGCAAACGTAGAGTACCTGTATATACACAGCATCAGCTATATTTGAAAATAATTTTGTTTTCATGTTGTAATATAACACCACTATTAGAGCAAAACAAAGCGTGTTTTAGTCCAGCGATTATGGTATGTATGTATTTGATTATAATTATTGAACCCAAGATGCAATCTATAGTCATTATAATACCATATTGATAATAATATGGTCCAGCTTTGGTTCGTCCACACATTTTGTACAGAAACATCTGAAACAATCGTTCATGACATACCTACATAATGTAAAACAAATAAATACAATGAAATTAAAACACAGATGCAAAATATGAGCTGAAACAAACTTTACATAAAGAAATGATACAGAATGAAAGGAAAAGTGACTTTGACAGTGGGTAGGTGGAAGATACTTGTGCCCTGTGTAGACGGGTGGGGTTGGACAAGTCACTTGCATAAGTGTAATTCATGTTACACACTTTTGAATTATTAGGCCCGAGCCCCGAACGGGGTAAGGGCCTATTGCTTTCACAATGGTGAAAACAAATGGTGGCGGTGCGTGACGGACGCGTCAGCGCCCGTCACTCACCAAAACGTGACGGTTGCGTGTGTAAACTCAAAAGCTTTAAAATGATGTATCAGGTGCCATTGAAACCTATATTGTTTTTGCTCGAGACGTTAAAAAAAAAATTCCTTTTTTATTAGGCCCGAGCCCCGAACGGGGTAAGGGCCTATTGCTTTCACAATGGTGAAAACAAATGGTGGCGGTGCGTGACGGACGCGTCAGCGCCCGTCACTCACCAAAATGTGACAGTTGCGTGCGTAAACTCAAAAGCTTTAAAATGATGTATCACATGCCATTGAAACCTATATTGTTTTTGCTCGAGACGTTAAAAAAAAAATTCCTTTTTTATTAGGCCCGAGCCCCGAACGGGGTAAGGGCCTATTGCTTTCACAATGGTGAAAACAAATGGTGGCGGTGCGTGACGGACGCGTCAGCGCCCGTCACTCACCAAAATGTGACAGTTGCGTGCGTAAACTCAAAAGCTTTAAAATGATGTATCACATGCCATTGAAACCTATATTGTTTTTGCTCGAGACGTTAAAAAAAAAATTCCTTTTTTATTTATTTCTTTCTTTCTTTTTTCTTCTGCACTTTGAGCCTTAATTTGACCCCCTGAACATGCATGAAAAGTTGTTAATTTTGGCCCAAAAATCAGACCTGGCGAAAAATTTGATATTTTGGTGTTTATTTTTATGGGACTCAAAAAATGCCAGAACAGCGCCACCTACAACAGCCAAAATAATACCCCTATGGGACTTTTTGGAGGTCAAGTTTGTCGTAGAAACATGAGATTTGGTACACATGTTCCTTGAGTCAAGACATGAAAAAAAATATTATTATGGCTCCGCCCTCTGACAAACAGGAAGCCCATAAATTTCACTGCAAAATGGAAAAATGAACAGCAAAAGTTTTCATACATGTCGGTTGGAAAGCGACTCCTCCTCGGCCGTTTCACCGATTCGCCTCAAAATCGCTCCACATCATCTCAACACATGTACCTTCAAAATGACCTCAGGGATTTTTGATCAGTGAAACATTGTTTGAGCAGCGGAGCGGCAAAATGTGACCTTTTTTTGGCCGTTTTTGACAACATTAAATTTGCTCCCGTTTGCACAAACAAAGTCTGATTTGCACAAAACTTTAATACATTGTTCAACTTTAGGGTCTAGGTCATTTGAAAGTTAAATGATTCACATTGACACATTAGCGCCCCCTACAGACTATTTCAAAGTTTTAGATGGGCATTTTCAAATTTAGTTTTTTCAAAATGTTTGAAATTTTGCACATAAATCTGTTTTGCACTCTTGATTCAAAAAGTCAATAGGGTCCAAGGCTTATTTTTTACCCTGTTGCCGTGGCGACGACAAACGCTCCAGATTCATTGCAAATGTACACCTCACACAAACATCAAACTAGCCTCGGCCGTTTCACCTATTCGCCTCAAAATCGCTCCACATCATCTCAACACATGTACCGTCAAAATGACCTCAGGGATTTATGATCAGTGAAACGTTGTTTGAGCAGCGGAGCGGCAAATAGTGGCGTATTTTTTTTCAGTTTTTGACAATAGAAAAATGGCTTCCGTTTGGACAAACAAAGTCTGATTTGCACAAAACTTAAATCCATGGTTCAACTCTTGGGTCTAGGTCATTTGAAAGTTAAAATTTTGAAATTGGCTCTATAGCGCCACCTACAACAGCCGATTTAAAAATGCCTATGGGAGGGGTTCGAGGTCAAAATTGTCATAGAACCATGTAATTTGGAACACATGTTCCTCAAGTCAAGACATTGAACTTGTTTTATTATGGCTAAGCCCTCTGACAAACAGAAAGCCCATAAATTTCACTGCAAAATGGAAAAATGAAAAATAATCATTTTCATACATGTCGGTTGGAAAGCGACTCCTCCTCGGCCGTTTCACCGATTGGCCTCAAAATTGTTCCAAATCATCTCAACACATTTACCTTCAAAATGACTTCAGGGAATTTTGATCAGTGAAACGTTGTTTGAGCAGCGAAGCGGCAAAATGTGAGGGTTTTTTTGGCCGTTTTTGACAACATTAATTTTTTCCCGTTTGCACAAACAAAGTCTGATTTGCATTAAACTTGAATCCATTGTTCAACTCCAGGGTTTAGGTCAGGTGAAAGTGAAATATTTGAAATTGGCCCATTAGCGCCCCCTAAAGACTGAGCCAAAGTTTACATCGGGAGCCAAACCAGCTCTACTTATATATTCATTCAAATTTGACTAACAATCTTCTATGACTACGGGAACAAATCATCACACGGCGGCGCCACCTCCTTTGAGCGGTGCTGCGTGGTACGGTGTGGTGCGGCGTAGTGCGGGGCGTTGTGGAGCGGCGCGTTGCGGCTTGGTACGGGACGGCGTGGTGCGGGACGGCGTGGTGCGGGACGGCGTGGTGCGGGACGGCGTGGTGCGGGACGGCGTGGTGCAGGGCGGCGTGGTGCGGGGAGTGCGCGCGGTGCAGGGAGTCGCGCGGTGCGGCGAGGGCCGTTCGACACCGCTTGCGGCTTTAATTTATTTCTTTCTTTCTTTTTTCTTCTGCACTTTGAGCCTTAATTTGACCCCCTGAACATGCATGAAAAGTTGTTAATTTTGGCCCAAAAATCAGACCTGGCGAAAAATTTGATATTTTGGTGTTTATTTTTATGGGACTCAAAGAATGACAGAACAGCGCCACCTACAACAGCCAAAATAATACCCCTATGGGACTTTTCGGAGGTCAAGTTTGTCGTAGAAACATGAAATTTGGTACACATGTTTCTCAAGTCAAGACAAGAAAAAAATATTATTATGGCCCCGCCCCCTGACAAACAGGAAGCCCATAAATTTCACTGCAAAATGGAAAAATGAACTGCAAAAGTTTTCATACATGTCGGTTGGAAAGCGACTCCTCCTCGGCCGTTTCACCGATTCGCCTCAAAATCGCTCCACATCATCTCAACACATGTACCTTCAAAATGACCTCAGGGATTTTTGATCAGTGAAACATTGTTCGAGCAGCGGAGCGGCAAAATGTGACCTTTTTTTGGCCGTTTTTGACAACATTAAATTTGCTCCCGTTTGCACAAACAAAGTCTGATTTGCACAAAACTTTAATACATTGTTCAACTCTAGGGTCTAGGTCATTTGAAAGTGAAGTGATTCAAATTGACACATTAGCGCCCCCTACAGACTATTTCAAAATTTTAGATGGGCATTTTCAAATTTAGTTTTTTCAAAAATGTTTGAAATTTTGTGCATAAATCTGTTTTGCCCTCTTGATTCAAAAAGTCAATAGGGTCCAAGGCTTATTTCTTACCCTGTTGCCGTGGCGACGACAAACGCTCCCCATTCATTGCAAATGTACACCTCACACAAACATCAAACCAGCCTTGGCCGTTTCACAGATTCGCGTCAAAATCGCTCCACATCATCTCAACACATGTACCATCAAAATGACTTCAGGGAATTTTGATCAGTGAAACGCTGTTTGAGCAGCAGAGCGCCAAAAACTGGCGTATTTTTTTTCAGTTTTTGACAATAGAAAAATTGCTTCCGTTTGCACAAACAAAGTCTGATTTGCACAAAACTTGAATCCATGGTTCAACTCTTGGGTCTAGGTCATTTAAAGTTAGAATTTTGAAATTGGCTCTATAGTGCCACCTACAACAGCCAATTTAAAAATGCCTATGGGAGGGGTTCGAGGTCAAAATTTTCGTAGAACCATTTAATTTGGTACACATGTTCCTCAAGTCAAGACATGGAAAAAATGTAATTATATGGCTAATCCCTCCGACAAACAGGAAGCCCATAAATTTCACTGCAAAATGGAAAAATGAAAACCAATCATTCTCATACACGTCGGTTGGAAAGCGACTCCTCCTCGGCCGTTTCACTGATTGGCCTCAAAATTGTTACAAATCATCTCAACACATTTACCTTCAAAATGACTTGAGGGATTTTTGATCAGTGAAACGTTGTTTGAGCAGCGGAGCGGCAAAATGTGAGGGTTTTTTTGGCCGTTTTTGACAACATACATTTTTTCCCCGTTTGCACAAACAAAGACTGATTTGCATTAAACTTGAATCCATTGTTCAACTCCAGGGTTTAGGTCAGGTGAAAGTGAAATATTTTAAATTGGCCCATTAGCGCCCCCTAAAGACTGAGTCAAAGTTTACATGGGGAGCCAAACCAGCTCTACTTATCATATTCATTACAATTTGACTAACAATCTTCTATGGCTACGGGAACAAATCATCACACAACGGCGCCACCTCCTTTGAGCGGTGCTGCGTGGTACGGTGTGGTACGGCGTAGTGCGGGGCGTTGTGGAGCGCCGCATTGCGGCTTGGTGCGGGGCGGCGTGAGGCGGGACAGCATGGTGCAGGGCGGCGTGGTGCGGGGTGGCTTGGTGCGGGGCGGCGTGGAACGGGGTGGTGCGCGCGGTGCGGGGAGTCGCGCGGTGCGGGGAGTTGCGCGGTGCGGCGAGGGCCGTTCGACGCCGCTTGCGGCTTTAATTGTTTTTGTTTTTTGTTGTTCATTTTCCAGAACTGGATCATGGGCGTCCATGTTTGGTGCCGTCCCAACCATCTGCTTTGGTTTCCAGGTGAGTTTGACTGTTTTCACTCAAGTGACAACACATTCAACCAAACATGTTCTTAGGCCTTAAGATCACAATTTTTATTGATTGTGATTATTAAAAACCAAAGTAAAATCGAAACACATTAATGCTGTGGTTGTTTCTCATTTAGGATAGTTAAACAGTCAGGAGGACAGACCCCATGAGTTCACCTCTACTCATATGTCCTCACCTGGTGTAAATAACATTTGTTATAGCAGCAAATGTTGTGGTATTTTTAATTCAATCAAATCAGGAATCAAGAAGTTAAAAAATACCGTGATAGCTGGACTATTATCCGCTACCTTTTAAAACATTCTTACAATGCTTTGGCTTATACAGTATATGTATTTTTTATTGTAGTAGAGTATCTCTCGGGGTGAAGGAAAGAATTTGAACACAGCTATGTTTATGTGAACAGGAGAGAGAGCCAACACGAGGAAATACAGAGAAATGCAAGGAACATGTTTTGTTGTCAGACAAGTTTATGGACCGATTATTTTAACTCCACCCGTTTTAGTAGCTATAGGACGCACATTTATTGTCAGAGTAGATAGTGGTAAATGAAAGCTTACACTTAATGTTTGGCTCCTCAGGGCGCATTGTGTTATTTACTATAACCTCTTCATCAAATCATGATGTGACCAGAAAAATCTAAAATGTCACCAGCTAAAACTTCTTTAGCTGGTGTGGTTTATATACAGGTGTGCCTAATAATCCAGACAATATTTTAATACTCTCCCAGCCCTACATCATCATGTATAGATTTTGCTTCTTCCAACTCACATTGGATAACACAGCAGCATACCTGTGCCCAAACCTCTTATTCTGCCATGAAATGTAATGATATCAGTATTTTCTGTTGAAACGCAGGCGCTAAAACGCTGAGAAGTCATGTATGTTATTTTGCTTCTTGCCTCTTGGCTCATATTGTATTGACCCAGTATTCAGCCATTGCTCAATAGAGGTTATTGTGAGTGGTTTTTCTCGGCGGTGTTTTGGCAGCAGCAGCGTCTGGAGCGTGTTTTCGCGCGCTGAAAGGTCATGTGGCTCTAAGCTCTACGGGAGCCGGTGGTGTGAACTTTCCCTATTTAACGGCCGCCGCGTACCGTCGGAGTAAGTGATGATTCTGTCATTCTGAAAGCCACGGACCATGCGGAACCTCGCGAGTTGTCACAGTAACGCCCTGAGGAGGCTAATAATAAAAGGAGGGGTAGAGTGTAAAAAGATTGATGCCAGTTCTTTTCACACAAACGCACTAGGAGACGCCATCCCCCTGGCGATGTGATTGCAGAGGCTGAAAGGAGAGCTGATGAGATCCTCCAAGGCGGGGTGAGCTCCATTTTAAAAGCGGCCCACTGCAGCTGGGATCAAGTGGGGACAAGAGGCTGCATCCTGGCCCACTCTGCGCTGCAAGGCTACACATTGTTCAGCTCAAAGCCAGAGCCCGGGTTTAATTTTCCATCTCATCTCTCGTCTTGATAGCTCACACATCAGGCGGAACAAGGACCATAACCCGCTCTCACACAATATCACTGTGCACTCAACAACTGGCCTGTTTCATTTAGCTTTCTCCTAGAGGCATATTGTATCTACAGACAAGATGAAGGGATATGGTCGGCTATGAAGTAGGGCTGCACGATTCATTACAATTATGAATTAGTTATTTGCAAACAAGTAAGGAATGAAATACAAGCAAAAATCTGTTGACTTTTGGAAAATGTCTCTGGATTTGAATGTATTTAGAGGATTTGTCAATGGGAAAAAAAAAAACTATTTTTAGTGTAGATGTTGGGCAGAAGCCTTATTTTCTCTTTCCAAATGAGACATCTGATCTTTTTATATTAATGAGACACAACTGTCAAAATGTGATGCAAATTGAGATCTGACTAAATAATTAATAGTGAATATAAATATAAACAAATTCATTCTTTTCAAGCTTTCATCTTTCTACTTTAAATGGTTATACTATAGAACTTTTCAAAATGTTCTGGGTATTGTGTATGAGGTTCATACAGTATGTATGCTTTAAAATAGAATAAATATTTAAACTTACAAGATATTGACATTCGTTGTCAATTCGTTGTCTACATTCGATATTGACCATGCTTCACTGGTGTGAGGTTTATCCCGGCCCCAGACCTGTCCTGCACTCACTGCTCGTTTCTCGTTGCTTTTCAGTGTCATGAGGCGTCCATCGCCATTTACAGCAGCATGGAGAACCAGAAGCTCTCCCACTGGGTGCTTATCTCGGTGCTGTCCATGGTCATCTGCCTCGTTATTTATTCACTGACCGGTAAGAATCCTTTTTCACCTGTTTTTGAAATCATCATTTGGGAAGCACAAATGAACAGTTTGTTGTTGTTGAAATGTTGTGATATAAACAACGTTGTGTAATCTTGCAGGGGTTTATGGGTACCTGACCTTTGGAGAAGAAGTGAAGGCAGACATCCTCATGTCGTACGCTGGACACGATGTACTGATGGTGGTGGCTCGGCTGTTGTTTGGAGTGTCCATCATCACTGTGTACCCCATCATTGTGCTGCTCAGCAGGTATTCACATGTTTTATCTCCATAGTAACGCTAGTCATCAAACCAATGACGTGTTTGTGGGTTCATGTGGAGATGTTCCATGATGACACTCACCAGCTTTTGTTTCAAACTTCATGTTCATTTCTTTTGGTTAATCATGTTTATTATTTTCTGTTTGTGGATTTCAGGTTAATGTTGTGTGTAGTTAGAGGCTTATAAGTTTTACTTCTTCTCTCTCCTTTTTTGAGTTGATACTTAGTTATTTAAAATAAATGTATGTTGTAAATCTAAGTTATGTATGTTGAACTCAAAATAAAACATTTCATTTCAAAAAGGCTTACATTTTGTTTAAATAGGTCACGGTGGACGCAGACAGGCGTTGAGGGATAATGTTGCAGAGACTGCAGGTGTCAAATAAACCACCTCAAAACGCACCTTGTTTTGACATTCGTTAAATTTATGTGTAAAACTTAATCCTTGACAATGCCTCAAGTCGATTTTAAGCCTGTTTCCACCAGCCCTACTCTACCCCGACTGAGGGCATTTCAACTGGTCCTGTCCAGTTGAAATGAGGACAGGACCAGGAAGTGGTTAATTTGTAACGTGGGAGGTCCCGTAACGCCGCGGATGACTTGATCTGGCGAGTCCCGCCTATTTACCCAGAATACACTGCAGAGGAAAATATAAACAATCTTGTTGAAAAAAACAAATCTACTTAGGCAAGTTGGCCAGATGCAAAAATACTTGAGCAATATTCTGCTGCTGGTTTCAGGTCAGTGATCCAGGAGCCGCTGATGCGCTGGCGCCGGAGCCGCACTGGGACGGTGAGCGAGGCCTTCGAGCGCAGCAGCCGTGTCCTGCTGAGCTCCCTGTGGATTATAGTCACCCTCCTCATCGCAATGTATGTACCCGACATCAGCAAAGTCATCAGTGTGATTGGAGGCATCAGCGCCTTCTTCATCTTCATCTTCCCAGGTACGCCACCTTGTGGTCACTGTTGCAGGTACGCCACCATGTGGACACTATCACATACTGTACTGACTGAGTTTCCACAGGTCTGTGCCTGATGTTTGCCATGCAGTCTGAGCCCGTCTCCTTTAAGACCAGGTGAAAAACAAACTTGTTTGGATGTAAATGCAAAGTAAATATAAAATGTAGTTACACATCTGGCCCCAAATCCACCAGAGACAATATGACAGTTAATAAGCAGCCAGCGCCTGTTTGTTTACCGCCTCAGATCTCTGAGTGTGGAGAATGAGCACTCACTCAGCCATGCTCCCGCTTCAGCTTCAGACGCAGATTAGAAGAAAATCACTGTGATGTGAAATCAATGCTCACTTCAACTGATTGAACTTTTTGGAGAGAAAATTGGCAGAAACTGATAATCATGTAACCCTGTCATCTTTACTTAAAATAGTTGTTGAATACAAGCTCACATCTTCAGATATACAACAAAAGACGCTGAATGAGTGAATTTGAATTCTAAACTGATGTTTTTGTGCAGGTACTCGCCATTAAAGGGACAGTAAGATTTTACACACTAAACTCCCAGCAATATAATTACCAAAAGTACACACTGCTCCTTTTATCCTCCACAAGTCAAATTATGTCTTGGATTGATTAAAAGGAGACATGGTGCGGTCAAAATATTTAAAACTGTCTTATCTAGGCGCTTTAATCTCCCCAAATACAATGTCGACAGATGCCATGGACTATTCAACAAACTCTCGAGATGTGACAGGGTGTAATACGTCCAGAACCTCTGCTGGTTTTATCCAGTGCAGAATGAGAGGTTTGTGAACTTGTGACTTGCTGTGCTCCGCAGAGTGGTCCTGACGGCGTGGGGGGCTCTGACCCTGGTCTGCGGCGCTTTCATCTTTGGCCAAAGCACCACCATCGCCGTCATGCAGCTGCTGCATAAGATCTGACCAAGAGTTTTACTTCTGCGAAGACAAAGTGCTGTCCACAGAACATTTTTATATTTTATTTTTTACTATTTATACTTCTGCATTCAGAACCAAATGTATGCATATGAGAGGGTGTGTTCTTTGACCATGTAATTGTCCAAACTATTGTGTGTGTCACAGTTTAAGTTATTAAGAGTTGGTTGTAGTCTTTCATTAACTTATATCTTGCTCTCTTTTTAAGAAATGTTTTGAATTATTACAAAAAAAAAATCTTTGCACGTGGTCCTGTCAAGTTTGTCCCCAATACTGTCACAAAAAGTCCACACAAGAGTTTCTGTTTTAGTCATTTTATTGACTTGCATCACTCTACATCATCTATAATTTCAACATATTTTTTAAGACCAAATATATTACTTGCATCCCTGCAATAAGTCTCTACACTTAAGAGAAAGCAGATTTACTGAAACATACATTAAGAATAATTATTTCATTAAACATTGCCATAAAAGTGAAAGTTCATTCTTGTCATTGTTCTAGTTATAATATATTTTTCTCTTTGTCTTCATAGGAATACTATAAAAGAAAGAAGAATAGGTAAGAAATGCACAAAACTTATAGAAGAGTAGCATTGCCTAAATACTACAGCAAAGAAGTTACTGGACATTCAGTTTGACATGCACTCGCGGAGGATTGAAAATAAAAAATGGGCCATAAAAGGGAAGAGTTCCTGCCATGTGTTGATGGAGTGGCTCGTTCCTGATTGGCTTAAGTGACAATTTACTCGAGCTAATTTGTATGGACACCAGTAGCATGCTGCCTGAATGGGCCTGGTCTGTTTCTACGGCGAGAGCATTCGGCCAGGATTTTCTCATTCACCACATGTGAGCGGCAGAACTCTTTCATCGTATGGAAAAGCGCTGGTCGCACTTTAGAGTCGAGGGAGAGAGGAATAAAAGCAGTGTCAGGAATGTATTAACATCAGACCGTATTGGCATTTCTGACAGTTCACCCAGCGATTGTACAGAACAAAACCATACGGGAGGAATGAGGGCGGCACTCGAGTTGGACCACCGCAAAACATTGAGCAGAATCTTAATCATTTTTCACGTCTATTAAGCCTTTAGAAATTCAATAAGACTTAAGATGAGATACGATAAACTTCATTGATCTCACAATGGAGAATTTTAAGATTTCTGTTAGAATGCACGATTTTGTAAGCTAAATCCAAACTTTTGGCCACACTATTTGGTGTTACAACTAGACACATACAAGAAAATGTCCAACAACATTTACGGACATTTATCAACACTCATGGACATTGGTCATCTGCCCCTTATGGACCAATACCAATGTGTTTTCTGTTTTATTGTCTGATTCTCTGATCTGTTTTGGCGAATTCAACCGTTGTGTAAAGTCCTCTGAGATAACTGCTGTTGTGATTTAGGGCTATACAAGCATAAATTGAATTGAATTGAAAATATATGGAGTATAGTCCAAAACCGTTGACTTTTCATGACATATGTCGAGTGCAGCCCTTATTCAAATACACAACAGTTTCATTCTTGCATCAGTGTAGCTGGATCCCCGTTGGCTGCAATCTACAGACAGATGGACGTTACAATGGTATACAGATCTACGGATACTTAAAAGTATTTAAGAGGGTAGTGGTCAAACGGATCCCAAAGACTTTGTCCTAAACGCACACCTCATACTCCGTCGTATACCTTTGTACATTGTGCTTAGTGAGTGATTGTTGTACACACACGGGGCCGATAGTGGTGCTGTGCTGAAGGGGATTTAGATTGTGAAATAACAACATCTTGACCTAATTTTGACCTCACTTGAATGTGAACATGTCAGACTTAAGCAGCGGTGATGAAAGGCCAAGCCCAATCCAGACGACCGACCTCCATAACCTTTATTTAGTTTACGTCCACCTCAATGGCTTCTTTAAGTGGATCTCAGCATGGGCTTCAGTGTGCAGTGTGTAGAGGCCAGCACAAGCAGCCTGGATACATAATCTAGTAAATATAGTCTATTATAGATCTGAAAAGACATATTATAGGTTTTACTGGTAAATAACATTCAATAACTCTCAGCTCTAACACATTTTAACTTGTGCATTTAAATTAAAATATTTTTTATTGTCCCCATGTCATGTAGCTATAGCTGAATCCAGGGCTTTTTGTCCAACCATGGTCCTGTTGATATTCAAGTCCAGCAGCCTGAATCTTGTAAACATTATCTGGATGTATAAAGTCCAAATGTGCATGTATAGATATAGATGTATATATTTTATTTGTAAAAGTATGTCTTGGGTGATAATAACTGAAGTTGATTTCGTATACTTTGTTCATGCAACACAAGGCTAATAGTGTGATCTCTCTGGAGTCGGCTCTTGCTATAAAAGTCCACTGAAATCTTTTAACACCTCCTTTCTGTATGTTCATGTTTAAGGCTTTATATTGACGTCATTCAGTTTGGATGATTCTCTCAACAAACTGCAGCGCATGACGCTACTGCTGAAGAAAACGGCACCATAGCACTAAAATATATCAAGAATACAAATATAATAATTATCGAACGACATTTCCTATGTACACTCTCTACTAGACTCACGGCTAATGTCATGTTCGCCAATCAAGACAATAAATATACAAACGAAAAGTCATGGAGGATGATCTGCTGACCTTCACTGAGCAGCACAGTGTATTCACCAAAAACATAATATTACGTGGCTCACATTTTAACAGAAAATCCAATATTCATACCTAAAATATAGTCAGTCATTAATATTCACTATTTTTTTCCAAATAAAAATAAACGTGTGTGGACTTTTTAAAACGTTTTCTGAATACAGACAAGCATCACACCGGCTTTTTTTAATTTTTCCGCAAAGTGAAATTTGTGTATAGAAGGATCTCGTTCATTGATCTATGGCAGAATTATGATTGATTGTATTTAAGACACAGCTTTCCACTTTTATTTTTGCTACAATAAAACGTGGTGAGAAGATGTTTCAGTTAATATCACATTAATCGACGAACCCTTTCCAGGGGATTTTTAGAAAAGTAAGTCTCCGTTATTTCCAATTGTCTTCTAGCATGTGTGTAGCTAGTGTCGCTACTTGAGCAAACTGTCAAACACTTCTTCCTGAGATTGCAAGCTAATATGGCAGCTTTTCCTTTTGCAATGGGCCAGGATCGTTTTAAACTAGCTGACGTGAAACCAATGGCAAAACGAAAAAGGGCTACATCGATTCCAATAAGGTTGAGAGCATGCGTTTTATGCTTTGTAAACTCTTGTATTTATGTATTTATCACAAAAAATGACCAAAACTGCTACATAACATCTACTCTGGGGGATCTTGCTACATGACAGACTCGCTGTGGCTCAAAGCTGCAGATGGCGACGATTACGAGAGATATTTCAAAAAATCTTGAGCCGGCAAACTACGCGCACACTGGGAAAGTACCGTACTCTTTAAGTTTGTTTTTTGACTGCGTTCGACACCATTCGTTTGCACTGTGTAAACATGTACTTACAAAAGGACTAAGGTAAAAGAGGAGGGGGTGAGGGGCGATACATGAGGTCTGTGGGGTCTCTGGACGCTCATATTCTTGGCGTGGTGTTCACTTCGTCATGCGGTTAGTCCCGGTTCACGCTGCACCAGGCGGCTGTAAGAAAGAAGAAATGTACTTGCTTTTCTGGGTTTGATCTTTGTGAAGGCATTTTAAAGCTGGTGTGCCTAACTTTCAAACCACAAACTATGGAACGATGTAATGAAATCTTTCTAACTTGTTTCTCGCTCTCAAAATGCTTATGGTTTTCACACGATGCATTTTTTGGTCACATGTTCTAGAGCCCCCTGGACTGCCACCTTAACGTGGTGGGGGAGTTTGAGTACTCAGATGATCCTGGGAGCTATGCTGTCTGGGGCTTCATGCCCCCGGTAGGGTCTCCCATGGCAGACAGGTCTCAGGTGACGAGTCAGACGAAGAGCAGTCAGAAGCCAACATGGACAGCACGAAAAGAAGAACCGTGACGTCGCCCGGCATGGCGCAGCCGGGGCCCCACCCTGGAGCCAGGCCTGGGGTCGAATGCGAGCGCCTGGTGGCCGGGCCTTAGCCCACGGGGCCCGGCCGGGCTCAGCCCGAAAGGACGACGTGGGCAGTCCCTCCTGTGGGCCCACCACCCGCAGAGGGGTCCGTGGCGGCTCGGTGCAGAGAGGACTGGGCAGCAGTCGAAGGCGGAGACCTCGGCGACCCAGTCCGCACACCCAACATCTGGCTCTTGGGACGTGGAACGTCACCTCACTGGGGGGGAAGGAGCCCGAGCTTGTGGGGGAGGTCGAGAGGTACCGACTAGAGATAGTCGGCCTCACCTCCACACACAGCTTGGGCTCTGGAACCCAACTCCTTGAGAGGGGTTGGACGCTCCACTTTTCTGGTGTTTCTCGCGGGGAGAGGCGGCGAGTTGGGGTGGCCATACTCATTGCCCCCCATCTCAGCCGCCACGTGTTGGAGTTCTCCCCGGTGAATGAGAGGGTTGCGTCCCTCCGCCTTCGGGTGGGGGACAAGTCTCTCACTGTTGTGACGGCCTACGGGCCTAACAGCAGTGCAGAGTACTCGGCCTTCTTGGAGTCCTTGGGAGGGGTACTGGACGGTGCACCGCCCGGCCACTCCGTCATTCTCCTGGGGGACTTTAACGCCCATGTGGGAAGCGGCAGTGACACTTGGAGAGGGGTGATCGGGAAGAATGGCCCCCCTGATCTGAACCCGAGTGGTGTTCAGTTGTTGGACTTCTGTGCTAGTCACGGTTTGTCCATCACGAACACCATGTTTGAGCACAAGGGTGTCCACCAGTGCACGTGGCACCAGGACACCCTAGGCCGGAGGTCGATGATCGACTTTGTTGTTGTATCATCTGACCTTCGGCCGCGTGTTTCGGACACTCGGGTAAAGAGAGGGGCGGAGCTGTCAACCGATCACCACCTGGTCGTGAGTTGGATCCGCTGGCAG